TTCAGGTGATCGAGGGGATCTTTGGTCCCATCAAAGCTTTCGAACGAGATCATCCTGAACTTGCTAAGTAGTGGACATTTCATAACGGCGGGGCTGAAAGGCAAGTTTGTACCAGGTCATCTACAGCGGCAGGACCTTTCCCTTTCATAACCTGCATTACATCTTCTATTTTCCCCTTGAGATCCTTGATCTGCAAGTCGAGATGGGTAACTTTCTTTGTCTTTTCCTTAAGACAGAAGGCTATGCTTTCAGGAGGTCGGGAACTCCATAGGAGAGATGGGTGAACCACCTCTCTATGTCGGGTTCCCACCTAGCTTTGTTCCACTTCAGTCTCATTTTGGGGGGAATGATTATCCCTCTCTTCAAGATTCCCATTACCTCCGTTTGGACTTGAGAAATCTTGTCCTGAAAAGTTTTGTTGAACCGGTGGAACAAGGTGTTGCAAGAGCGTTGTATTTTGCTTGATCAACTGGTTCATACCCTGACTCAGAGTTTGAACCTGTAGTTCCAACGCTGCAAGCCGTGCCTGGTCATTTGGGACGTCCAGGTTTTCACCCGACTCTACCCTTTGACCAGATCCCTACGACGGTGTTCCTTCGGTAACCATACCGGACTGCAAACGTATATACCCAACGCGTAATTAATTGATTCAAGGGAATCGTCGTTCCCACAGACGGCGTCAACTGCTGAGGCTGAAATTCGCGTAGTCCGATACGATACCGTTTTCCTGCAAGGAAGAGAGGAGAAGATCGATGAACCTTGACGGCACCGGTGTGGTGCCTGCCAAGAGCTCTCCGACGATCAAATTAATCACGAATGTCTAAAAAGAAGGCAGGGATTAATAATAGTTTTTACGTCGTACTTTCTTTAATGGCTTGATGCCCTATTTATGACTGTCGATTGAAATCAAAATCATTCCGCTGATGTCGATGGTTGACCTTATCTTCCGCTTGTGCGAAATCATAGAAGATTTATTACCAGATTTGTCGGGATATGATTTAATCCTTTTGACCTCTTCCAGTTATAGTAGGATTATTCTTACCTGTTGAACCACGTCAGATTTGATTTCATTATCCTTGATAATGAAATATAATCAATCTTATCGAGGATAGGGTAGGTTTATATTTTTCCCTATCAAGGATAATTCATTCTCAAGAGATGAATTTTGAAAAAAAAAAAAAAAAAGGTTAGAACAAAATCTGAAAAGAAAAAATAATAATAATAAATAAAAGAGAATGAGAAAGGAATCCATATACAAAATAGATTTTGAGATTTTTAAAAAATACAAAATTAGTTTTATATATATATATATATATATATACACACACACACGTGTATTTTTTTTTTTTTTACAACTATCTCGATGAATGAATTTTTTTTTTTTTTTTTTTTTTTAAAAAAAAAAATCCATTTAAAGAAGGATAGTGGTAAAAATAAAAACAAAACGAAACATATATAAAATCCATTTAAAGAAGGATAGTGGTAAAAATAAAAACAAAACGAAACATATATAAAATCCATTTAAAGAAGGATAGTTGTAAAAAGAAACAAATCCATTTAAAGAAGGATAGTTGTAAAAAGAGACACTTTGTGTTTCTTTTTACAACTATCCTTCTTTAAATGGATTTTTTTTTATTTAAAGAAGGATAGTTGTAAAAAGAAACACATTTCTTTAAATGGATTTTTTTTTTTTAAAAAAAAAAAAACAAATAATCCATTCACCAAGATAGTTGTAAAAAGAAATATACACGTTTGTATATATATATAATAGTATAACACACACACATTTCCATATGGATAGATTAAAAGGGGAGAGAATAAGAAATGTTAGATAATTTAAAAGGGTATATTTGTTAAAAAAAAACAATATTTGTAGAGTTCCACTAAAATAGAAACTTAAATAATTAATGCATTTAATGGGATCTGATTCCTATACTAATAGGACAAAGGACTGTAAAGCCACAGTCGCCTTGCGCGACTGTGATTAGCAAAGTCCAAAAATCTAAATCCAAATCCTACCTATTACATCTAAATTCAAATTCAAATCTAAATCCTACCTATATTACATTAGAGCAATTTTAAATAAGCTATAATAAATAGGTTGAATCACATTATTTTTTGGGTTAATATCCCGTGTGGTACACTCATACTAGTTTGAGACCCACCTATTAAATCCACATCCAAGTTCAAATCCAAATCATACCTATATTACATTACAATATTTTTAAAGAGGCTGTGATAAATAGGTTGAATCAAATCAGTTTTTGAGTTAATATTCTCTACAGTGTAAAGTACTTGTTATATTGTGTTCCTTCGCCCCAATGTGTCACATCGTACACATGCAAGTTTGAGACCTACCGATTAAATCCAAATCATATCTATTGTTGAGGGTGAAATTCACGCGGTCCGATACGACACCGTTTTCCTATAAGGAAGAGATGAGCAGATCGATGAACCTTGACAGCACCGGTGTGGTGCCTGCCAAGAGCTCTCCGACGATCAAGTCAGTCACCGAAGGTCTAAAAAAAAGTTAGGGATTTAATAATAGTTTTTTCGTCGTACCTTATTCCCGAGTCGTTTTCCTATTTATCGTCACTTCCCTTATTCTTGATGAGGGAATATCATAATCCTTATCCCATGGAAATCTTATCCTTGATAAGATTTGTCATTATCCCATGAAATTTATCCAATGGAAATCGTTATCCTGATAACGAAATATTATCTTTCGAAAGTAGAAGAGATTTGGCATCTGGTCAACACTTAGTTGCCTCTATCGTTAGGTCAAGATAGGTTAGGTTTATTTTTCCCTATCAATTGCTCCCCATTAGGAACAACAGTACCCGCGAGTACTATTCCCGCGATACTGTTCACATGAACAGTCAATACTATTTTATTTTATTTTTTTTCGTCTTGCCGTGGGAACAGTAACTTCCTTTTTTTTTTCCTTGCCCTGGAAACAGTACCCGCGAATACTATTCCCCCGGTACTGTTCACATGAACAGTAAATACTTTTTTTTTGCCCTGGGAACAATACTGTTCACATGAACAGTAATAAAATGAAATTGATTGGTATGTGGTGTCTAGAACAGGATCCTACAAGTTAATTTATGTCTACCTTATCATAGATTGAATTATTAAAGAGTTTGACAAGTGGATTTTCGTAGGTTGATTGCTTTTTCACCTTTTCTTTTCATCAAAAATAAATAAAATTATTTAAACTACAAAAAATTTAACCTACTATAAAATACTCTCATTCGTAAATGTCAATATTTACTTATGATAAATAGACCGAGTTATTTATAAATAGTTGATATATAACCAACTGCACGTTATGTAGATAGTGACTTTTTATAGTCTATACATCTAAGACCTATGCTTTAAGAGACATCTTCACCGACCTAATTCTCAAGTGTTAGGGATTGATTATAATATCATTGGATTCATTTCACCTAGTGCACCTATGCTTTAAGAGACATCTTCACCCACCTAATTCTCAAGTGTTAAGAATTGATTATGATATCGTTGGATTCATTTTACCTAGTGCAAATATAATCCGTTTTGCACACATCTACACAAATTAGAGACATCATGAATGTGGTTTGACACTGTATTGACTAATTTTCTGCCTATGCATGAATAAAGATTATAAAGAAATACACTAATAAATATGTATACATAATTAGTGAAAAGGTTTGATAAAAAATAATAATAATAATAACGCTGTCAAAACATTGGAATCAGAATGAAGAAAAAAAATATTTATTTGCGCTGGGGGCAAAGCGTCATTGAATGACTATCATTATCCCCGTGTTCCGCATCATGACGCATTCAATTCTCTAACCTGTTTTGATTTGGACAGTAAAAGATATATAAAATAAAATTCATTGAAATAATAATTAATTCATCATTTGTCACCTGTTTGGATTTGGATAAAAATCCAAATCCAAATCCAAATCCTAGCCATATTATATTACAGTATTTTTAAATAAGCTATAATAAATAGGTTGAATCAGATTATTTTTTGGGTTAATATCCCGTGTGGTACGCTCATACTAGTTTGAGTCTTTGAGACCCACTTATTAAATCCAAATTCAAGTTCAAATCTAAATCATACCTATATTAAATTACAGTATTTTTAAATAGGCTGTAGGTTGAATCAAATCAGTTTTTGAGTTAATATTCTTTACGGTGTAAAGTACTTGTTATATTGTGTTCCTTCGCCCCAATGTGTCACATCGTACACTCATACCAATTTGAGACCTACCTATTAAATCCAAATCATACTTATATTACAACATTTTTAAATAGGCTGTAATAAATAGGTTGAATCAAATCAATTTTTGAATTGATACTTTCTGCCGCGTAAAATACTTGTTATATTGTACTCTTTCGTCCCCAATGTGTCGCATCGTACACTCATATACTAATTTGAGACCTACCTATTAAATCCAAATTCAAATCCAAATCCTACCTACATTACAACATTTTTAAGATGTAATAAATAGATTAAATCAAATCAATTTTTGAGTTGATATCTTCTACCGTGTAAGGTACTCGTTATATTGTGTTCCTCCACCCTCAACGTGTCACACCAAACACTCCTACTAGGTTTGAATGGCATAATAATCTATCTTTTCAGTCCTTTCCAAGCGTTACAGGCTTACAGCGATATTTGGGACCATTATGGTTGCATTGCCGACATTGGCTATACAACCATTTCTTATCCTAGTTAAAGATTATACCAATCTGAGTCATACTCGTCCTCGGACGATGTAAACCACTCAAGACTAAGGGTTGTTTGAACCTAAATGTAAATCAAGGACAATCTATTTTAAGAATCGAAAAGACTACACTAAGATGAGTTCGAATTCCTCATTTGTAACATTGAATGCGTGATCAATCAACTTAATATTTCATTTATTGGACATTTAGGGCTCATTACTTGGCCTACCTAACCAGTAACCCCAATGTCCGGACCACAATGTGGGTTCTAGCGCACATGCAATTTCAACCCCAACATTGATCACACACAGCTCAAAATGACGTGGCAGTGACATTGAACATAAGAATTCGAATATACAAAGCATTAAATTTCACAAAACTTAGAAAAATTATTCGAATGTGAAGCTCATGCACTTGTTGTGAACTCCTTATAGAAAGTATCAATATGGGAGAAATTATTAGGTAGTCCCCTATTATTGCAAGTGGGGTTTGTCCATATCTAATTTGGATGGGAGTTGAAGTGTGTATAAATGAATGGGTATATAGTACTACCCAATAACTTAAGGTTTTGAATAAATAGACAAGCGTCTACCCGTTATAATTGGTATCATAGTCAAACTCAATTCAGTGTCCGGAAAACATCCGGGTTTAGACTCTGGGTAGGCAGGGTGACCCGACTGCAACGAGAGCATTGCACTGGTTCGGGTGGGCAAGAATGTTACAAAAGGAACTTGTCCCACATCATATTTGGATGAGAGTTTAAATGTACGTAAATGGTTAGTTTTGAGCACTATCAAATAACTTAAAGTTTTTTTTTTTTTTTTCTTCATAAATGACACCTACCCACGGGTCGTTACTTTTTTGACATCCCTCCTGTACAAAAATTTCAACTCTCTCTCTCTCTCTACAGAGATGTTAAGACCCTCTGTTTTTTTCTCTTCTCAACATGATCATCCGGAGAAGATGATTATGCAAAACCAACAACACATGTATATTCAGAACTTTCTGTCTTTCACAAATTATTTCATGCAAAAATTCTTGAAGAATAGCGAAGAAAAATAATTTGTGAACACATAACAAATTAACAAATAAATAAAATAAAATAATAAATAAAACCTCCTGTTTGTATAATGTATACTAAATGTAACTTGCCCTCTTAATCAAACCCTAATTAGCAAAAAATCTGCCACATATAGGTAATTTAGTTGAGAAAATGCATAGATTCTTACCGGTGGCAAATTTGATGGCAATGAAATTTTCTTTTGAACAGCTTGGATATATAGTGTTTTTCCTTTATCTTTTTCTTTTTTTTCTTGGGATAAACCTACCTCAGATCTGTAAATCAAAGCTTCTGATCGACTTAAATGGAGAGAAACAGAGATGTCGACCAGCAAAACATATAGGAGTATCATTTTTGGTAAATCACCCAGCAAACATGTCAATAATTCAAATATTAAGATCACGTAAAGAACCCATGTCCCCTCCAAGATACAACATCAATGCAACATGTAATATAAAACCATTAACTCGAGAATTTAATACATTTACGGAGTTATTGCATTGTCAATCTAAAGTTTTGCATTCAAAATGTAAAGTTGCTGTATTAGGGACGTCACAAAAATTCTCTAACAAAAATAAAAATAAAGGATGTTATCCACTTTAAAAATATGCACATAATATGTGTTCACCAAGCTCAATTTTTTCAATGGTAGCAAAAGAGAAGAATTTGATTTCATTCACAAAAGTACTGAAATAGGAGTTTCTGTACCACATAGATCTAGTCTGGACTGGCCCACCAGCTTGGTGTAAGGGCCTGGACTTTTCCCTTAGGCCCATGGCCCGACACATCGGCCAGGCATGCCAATCCTTCAAGGTACAGAACTAGAAAAACAGATCAACAAGAAAGATAGGCCCAACTACCATTTTCATTTTTCTCTTTTCCTAGCGAGTCATTTACAGAAATTGGAAAACCATGCACAAAACACACACACACACACACACACCAGGAGATAGAGGATGGAGAAATTGGATTTTTGAGACTTAATTTGTTTACATATATCAAACAAATAACATAAAGTGAGAATTAGTTGAAACTTATACTGTACCTCAGTCAAGCACGTCTTGAAATGCTGTCTGTCTAAAAGCATCTGCTTGTCTCAGTTTTGCACCAAATGCCCTGTTGGGGAACACATTATCTGCTTTCATCCTCTCAAGGAACCCATACACTGGAGCTTTTGCGTTTACATAAGCCTGGAAAAGAACCTCGTATGGCTTGAGACGTCCGGTGTATCTAGACTGCCTCATTCTGAGGAGCAACTTCTCGGCATTATGCACATCGCCCCGTTTTGCATACTGATCCATGATTACCATATACGTGTTAAACATTGGGTTCTTGCGGGTGTTCCGAACTGCCTTCTGCAAAAGGTAGTCGGCTTTCTCTACTTCCCCAGCTTCCACATAGAGCCTCACAATTGCATCCCAAGTGAGTGGGCCAATCCAGCAGCCACCATCTCCCATCCGTTCCAAAAATTCAGTACCCTTAGTCACTAGCTTGTGGTTGGCATAAACGTTCAGAAGTGCAGAGGAAGGCCTGTATAACAGCTTTTTCCATTTCTGAATCATCTTCTCAAAAACTGCCTCTGCCTCCTCTATCCTGCCCAACTTGCCCCAAGCTTCAATGGCAGCTGTGCACTCATCAATCTTGGGATCCGATTCGCAAACCTTCCAAATTCTCATCACCTCATCGGCATTGCCAAGAGAAGCATAGAGAGGAAGTACTTTGTGGTGGCTATGCAGGCATGATTCTCCTATGTCCTTCAAGACAGCTTCAGCTTTATCTTTGAGCCCTCCAATTATATAATGCCGAGCTAAGGTAGTTCGGATATGGATGTCAGGTTCAATGGCTTCAGCCTTCATGATTTTGATCAACTCCTCGATCCCTGCAAAGTCATTGGCCTCACCTTTTGCGTCTATTAAGATTGCGTAAGTAATTAGAGAGGGTTTTATATCTTCTTTTTCCATGACTCTTAAGATATAGGGTATTTTCATCTTGTCAAGCCTCTTGTAGAGAAGGAGCATCTGATTGCAAGTAAAAACAGAAATTGGCAACTCCAGCTCCACCATTTTGTTGAACAGCTCCTCTGCTTTCTCCATGTTGAGAGGCTTGACACAGTTCGCTAACAGGGTTCTATATATTACTTCACCCCTGAAGTGCTCTGGAATATTATTAATATACTTCTCAGCCTTTTGGATGCCGCTTACTTTGGCAACCAAATCAACAGAAGTAACGTAATCTTGTTCAGTGAATTCAACCTGTTTATTTGCCTCGAGCCACTGCATGAACTGCATTAAGCATAAACACGTCATATTTTATATTCAGCAGTTGACAGCATCAAGAGTTATGGCTCGTCAAAAGCCTGTAACAGAGAAAAAAAGAAGCAATTTTTTTGGTGGAGTATGTAATCATCACCAAAATTCCAGGCAAAAAGACCAACAGGGGGAACTTTTATGGTGAAGCATAAAAAAGTTTTCCCACATGAGCCAGCAATGACAATTACACGTTGATAGAACAAATATTACATATAACCATAACGTATATTTTCAATTCTTAGTCACCAGCCCTGAACTTTATAGGAGTTAACTCCCATAAAAGTTCAAGATTGACGAAATAAGAATTTTTCCCATTTAAGTTCAAGATTGACGAAATAGGAATTTTTTATTTTTTAGTGGTGAGTAATATTGCAATTGACAAAGAGAGAGTGATGTAGATAGACAACTAGAGGTACAAAAAGAAGCCAAAATCTCCTACAGCTAGCTTTTCCTTGTACGTGTGTTTGAAGGAGTAAAAGTGAAACCATAGCCAGTGGAAATATATGAGACCGTCTATCCATGGCATTGGCTACTTGACACTGTCTTACCATGCCAGTGGTAGGATAACTCTTCACACATTGGCAGAGCCAATAGTAACGATCATGTTACCTAATTTTGAGGAATCCAAGTTTGAGAACTTTTAGGTCTAGGGTTCTTTTGGTAATTTGGGCAACCCAAATGCAATTCAAATGCATCTCTAGTGCGTTCCATCCAAGGTCAAACTAGGCTAAGTTGAATTGCAGACAGCTGAGACTTCAAATGTTTGTGTCATCAGTAAAGCTTATGATTTACACGTTGAAAGGAATCACGGATTATACAATCACATCATGTATAAAGCTAATGAAACTACAATATACAGAGAATTTTATCAAGGAAGGTACTTGCTATAGTGTCGACCATAGATTAAGAAAAACTACCAAGATAAAACAGTCCAACGACCAAGGAGAAAGATTTTTTTAAATAAAAAAAAAAAAAAAACACTATTTTAGTAAAACTTCAGGCAATTTATCAATCTGAACCATGACTTTCCCCTCTTCAAATGTCAAGAATGATCGCAACTTGAATTTGACACTCCTCGAGGCCCTCCACCTGATTGCATCCTCCCCTAGTGGCATGAAAAAAAATACAGTGATCTAAAAGAAAATTGCCCCTCTATGAAATTAGCACAACCCACAATGGATGTTTCCACAGAAACAACAATTCTGCAGAGGACCGAGAATTCTTGTGTCAACAATATACATCCACGCCACTTATCATGCTGGAAACTCACCCTCTACCCATTACCCATCATGAAAGTGATGTGTTTTTCAAATTTCTCCCATCCTACCTAAGGCCATTCTGTAACACATTCTCTAACGCAACTCCATGAGGACCCTAACCTTCCTCGAGATCCAACACCCTTGATTAATCCCATATTTTCTTCTACAACTGTTCCCCGTAAGCAGCCCTTTCCTCTGCAAAACTCCAATTCTTGCACAGATAACATTTCGATGATCAGTAATAACGAGATTATCAAAATAAATGCAACTATGTAAAATATTGTAGTTCTTTTAACTGTTGGATCAATCAAACTTAAGACAAACGGCCTCTCAAACATGGGAAACAATATATTCATAAAATATTTTGATGGGGTGTAACATGAGATTCACATTTTCAGAATAAGTGTGAGTTGTATTTTTTATAATAAAAATCTCAACTCTTAGCTTCTCTTTTTTTTTTTTTCACAATGTCCACTCACATTGTTTAAGATAATTCAACTGCAATACAGGTGAATTGACTAACAAGAGGGAATATAATTAAATTAAACAGCATCAAAATCAACATTGTAAGATTTTCTATTGATAAGTAAAATGTAAAGATTTATGATTTATGTCAGAATGATATACACAGATTGCAAAACTGAGGTTCTTTAGGAAAAATAAGAAAATTGAGGAGATTATAGATCATGTGGAAGCACTAATAATAAATGAAGAATGAAATACTAAGCTATATGAACTCCATGTGAACAAAATTTCGAGCAAAAGCACCTGCAAGGCTCTGCTATACATCTTACGCTTCCGAAGATCACGCATAGCAAAAGAAATCTCTGGTCGACCCAAACTATTTCCTTTCTCTATCCGCTTCTGAAGAGCAATATTAATAGATTGGCCTGGTGCAGAAACAATAGCGTCCAACAACCCCGACGAAGCACTTTCCTTCTGAGAATTCTTGCCGTTTGCTCTCATCTCAGCAGCTGAAAGGTCCAGATCATTTGCATAAATTTCAGCTAAATCATTATCCGATAGCTCTGCCTCAGAAACTACGTCTTCCCCATCTTTTTCCCCCACATTGTGCTCAACTATAGCCGATGCTTCGGGCTCTGAACCATCTTCCATTGTATGATTCTCATCACTAATTCTTGCATGTGCCTGTGAACAAAAATTATGACTCCCCATATAGAAATTTTCACCTACATCTGGAAGGTAATAGAACTTAGGTGGAAAGTATCTTCCACTCGATGATCTTTTCGGCTTGCGAATACTGGCACTCTCTACTACAATATTTGTTTTGATATCTGATTTAGCACTGAAAGTTCTGGAAGCCCCGTGTTCATACATTAGACTTCTGGATGGATATAAAATAAGGATTATACAATTGGAGTTAGAAAAAAAAACAAAACAAGAAAGAATTATATATAACTGTAATGAAAGGATAAACAAAATGCAAATAAAGATGGGAGAGGGCAAGAGGCAAATGTTCATGCTGCTTTGAAGAGCTAAATATCATAAAGTTAAACATACAATTAAATTTTGGTGATGTAGAAACACAGTATATGTAAGGAAAAACCTATTTCGAAGTAAAATGAAGAAGATAAAAAATAAATAAATAAATAAAAATAAAAAAGACCATTACCAAGTGTTAGATCCATTAAAGTGGGACCATGGAAGTAACGGATTTGGTTCACAGACCTAAACGTTTGGCATTATTATATGAAATGACCACTTATTTGAACGGTTTTTCTTATACCAGTAAGTCTGACCTTTTACAGTTGCACCAAATAATGGCCCCAAAATGTCAAAGAAGGTAATGGAGATGATCATGACGGCAATGCCAATAACAAGAATGATGAAGATAATGACACCGATAATAGTAAGGCAGTAAAATGTGCTGCATATGTGCACGAGATAGAGAGAGAGCTCACAAACACGCGCGCACACACAAAAACTTTTCAAGCACTCATAATTTTTATCAACCTTAGTTAAAAACCAAGAAAGGGGTAAGGAAGTCTAAGTCACTCAGAGATCAACAACAACAACAAGCCTTTTCCCGACTACTTGGAGTCAGCTACATGATTCCTATGTTTCCATTCCAGTCTATTTAAGGCCCTATCCTTGGTCAAACCACATGTTATCATATCCTTTCTTACTAACTCTACCCACGTTAACTTTGGTCTGTCCCTTCTCCTAGTATTAACTATTAACCTTCAACATGGACTATGTCACTGTTCCTAACTAGAGCTCTAGTTGAAGAATAATTATAGGAACAAAAAAGGAATAGCAAAAATGATATAATCATTGCTAAATGAACATTAATTATGGGGAAAAAATGACTACCAAAAATTATAAAATTATTGGTAAATAAGCTTGAAATTTAGAAATTCAATTTCATGATTACTGGCAGAACGACATCAAAAAGGGTACTTTAATCACTTGCCAAAAAATTTAATCTTATAACCATTTTCATGATCCGAGAAGAAGTTGATATTAAAATCACTAGCAGTAAAACCTAACTTTTGTAATCATAAACAAAAATAAATAAATAAAGTGAAAGAAAACAAGAAATTGAAGAGCAAAATCACTCTCATCATAACCTATTGTCTCCATCATTGAACTAAAAATTACCCAAGGAGGAGAAAGAAAAGGTGAAGAAAAAGGTACTAAAACCACTTGGAATTAATTCCTTTTGATCACTTGCAGAGACGCAAACAATAGACAGAAACTCACTTAACCGACGACAGCATATCAAAAGTTCCATCAAGTAATGTAATCGTTTGCGCGTGCGTGCGTGTTCGTATGTATGCATATATATATATATATATATAGAGAGAGAGAGAGAGACCTGAGGGGTTGGGCAGCTCGTCGGAGTGACCACATAATGTGATTAAGAGTTTGTGGGGTAAAGTGTTTGATACCGTAAAGCAAAAAACAGGAGAGGAATTGAGTGAGGTTTCGAAAATTCTGTAACCCCAAAACCTCTAAAACCCTCCGGCACAGAAAATAAAGAAAATGGATAGTATTGGTGCTAGGGAAGAGAAAAATAAAAAATAATAACACCTAAATTACTATTATATCGTTTTAGAAGATAATTTTTTTTTTTCTTTTTAATTGTTTAGACTAGTTTTGAGATTATAAAAATATTACTTAATTATTATCATTTTTTTTTTTTTAAGGATAAAATATGATGGAATTTTTTTTTTTTTTTTAACACACATGATGAATCTGAAGGAATAGTTATGAATCTAAATATCTCCCAATTATTTATTTTTTCTTTTCAGGCAACTCAAATACACTTCATATTTCTTTTTTTTCTTTTCTTTTCTTTACAAATTCCTCCAAATCATTTAATCGAAACGAACCACAATGCTAAATGAAAATAAATAAATAAGATAAGATATGATTTTTTTTAGCAATTCCTTATATTAAAAATGTTTTATTTAAAAGAATAAAAAAGACAAATCAACTTTAAGAGGAGAAAGGGAGATGAATATATACCAACGGTGTGTAATCGAACTAAAAATGTTTTATTTAAAAGAATAAAAAAGAGACTTTAATTTCAAGAGGAGACAGGGAGATAAATACCAAGAGTGTATAATCTAATGATATATCTTCTTCTTTCGTAATTAAAAATTTAAATCAGAATAAACACACGGTCATCTTAAATCAAGAAGTGATCCAATCCAAAAAAATTTACATGATCAGGACAAATTACTACACAACACACAGCCATGTAATAATTTCTTCCTCAACCCTACGGAATAATTACATAGTCAGTCTACAACAATTACATAGTCAGATTCCACACCTCTCCTGTGTCTTTTAGAGTCGGCTTCATTTAAGGCAATTAAGAATGTCCCTTAAGGCCTCATTTGAAAATATATATATATATATATATATATATATATATAATACCCATTAATAAATATGTATTAATAAATTTATAAATATGTATTATATATATATATAATACCCATATATATGTATTTGTATTAATAAATTCATACCCATTATATGGTCCTGTTTAAGCTAATCACCGTGGCATAACACTACTAGTCTACTACGAGGCTACATTGTTGTATTACTGCAAAAATACTGAGTAACTATTGTTAATCATTCATTTTCAGATTAATTTCATCAATAAATTAAATTTGTTAGATGACTAATTGTGTGTGTGTGTGTATAATTATATATGCATATCAATCGGGTATACATGGTCTGATTGCAGATGGCAGACAATTAGAGAATCATCAAATGAACAATAGTGTTAAAAGAAGCTCAGTCAAAGGGCTAAAATTATTTGCTGGCTAATTATCAATTTATCAATCATATGACTCTCTCTTCACAGTTCACACATCATTTGAGATGTTCAACTGCTATTAAGCAACACAATAATTTGAAGAACACATAATTATTCCATACAATTGAACTTCAACCCATCATAGCATTTTTTTCTCGTTTCCATGATTGTCTTACAACACTAAACATAGATACATTATTCACATGTTCCTACATAACAAATTCTGTGTCACAATTTCTTAAGCTCTTACACAGTAGTTTTTGTGCAGTGTAGCTCCTTGAAAATGGCATCACAAGCAATTTAAAACCGAAAACCGATAACGAACCCAAGACAACGGCGACATTAGCTGATTTAACCCTACTCCATCCTCTTGAAACATTCAAAACTCTCGTGACAACTCTCTTGACATTTTCATGAATGTCCATCAACCCGAATTCATTTGTTTCGGATAATTCTTTTTCCCCACGAAAGACGTGCTAAGAAACAGAACTCACATCATTCAATAGTTGACAATTACAACTATCAATAACATCCCTCTCCTACGTACAAAATCTCATGCGATGTTTCAACCCTAAACATGCTATCATTTCCCATTGTTCCTCCTCTTCCACCAATATGATCAAATCCTGACGAAGAAGATGCTAAGCTCGGGGCCATTGTTACCATCAGGACTCATCATGTAATAAGTTTCGGAGTCCTTGGATCCGATGACACGCTCAAAGTGCGCCCTCATGTACGTCAGCTCACCCTCCGGCGCGTCTGTGGCCTCACTCGGGAGCACGCCGGCGCCCATTGACACCGCGTGCAGCATCTGCATGACGTTGAGATCATCATCAGTAGGCTCTCTCTTCACCCCATAGCCTGTTTTTCTACCATTGCAAAACATGGTCCATATTGGCTCATCAATGAGCTTAGTCTTCTCTCCTGGATTCTTCTCACACTCTAGTGCAATCCTAACAAGTCCCAACCCCATTTCTTGGAGTAGTTTTCCTGTTGGAATGCCAATCTCTAGCACCAACATTGGAAGGCACCTAGGGTTTTCTTGGATGGCTAGGTTAACCCTAGATTTTCTGCACCCGAAAAGGGTTCCGGTCATCCGTGTCCCTCCGTGGATGTGTCCGTCGTTGAGGCCCCGGTTCCCGTGGAGCTTCACCGGCATCTTGCACGCCGGGGTTATGATGGGGAATGACCGGAACACAGCCCGGAAGCGCCGAAAGAGTTTTGTGGATTTTGTGGGGCCTTTCTTGTGTGTTGGCTGTTGGAGGGAAACCTGAGGCCTGGTAGGCGACCGGTCATCGGGTGCCGTGGCGTGTGCCGTACGCGACCGTGGTGCCGGCGGAGGTGGGGGTGGAGGCTTTGGTGCAGCCATGTATACGAGTGTTTCTTCCACCCTAGCTTGGATTTGGTTAGAGAATGTGTGATTGATAAACGAAGATCGGTGCAGAATGTATTCAATATGATTCTACAAGCTCAAGCTAAAGGTCTAAGATGGGCAATGCTTGGTGGTGGTGGTGGTTATGGTGGTTGAAGGTGTGAGATGGGCTGTGTTTGGGGATGTATATGAAGAGGAGGTTGTGGGAGGCACGTTTTAGGGTTTGTTTTTGAAATCAAAGGTGGATAGGAGGATATGTGTGTATATTCTTGAGTAGGGTGGGAGCTGTTGAAATTTGAAATATGGTTAGGCATTTACTTAGCCAAACATAGAATATAAAATTGTGGTGAGTCTGAAGTGTAGGCTTAAAACTCTTGTTTTCTGTTTGATGAGACCACTTCCAAGTCCTTCTTGTACCCTAATATAGCGGCAAATATTGCTTGAGTGAAGTGTTATGTGACAGCTGGACATTTTTTTGCCGTTTGGATAATCCTAACAATATTGCCTAATTACATGGTCTACTTATAGCACTAAGGATCATATAAATATTGATTAATTGTTTAAAATAGAAGATAAATTCCAAAAAGATAGTAAAGTCTAGTTATAGCCCTGAGTTTGTGTCTTTTGGATAAGTCCAGATGAATTATAGAAAATAAATAAAAGATTAATTGCAAGAAAATAGAAAATCAAATGACTAAAAATACAATTTTTGGGGGACTAAATAGACATTAACAAAAATAATTTGGTAAATATTTGCACCCAAAAAAAAAAAAAAGTTGGATACAAAAAATTTCCCGGGAAAAAAATATATATATATGTGATACAATACTTTAAGGAATAAGGTGCGACGTATCATTTTCAATAATAATATGTTCAAGCTGGCAAGTACCCAATTCTTCATAAATAATTGGGAAAGAGTGGACTAACAATTTGAACATTCCTTTGAGGTTTTAGGTCTGAAACATTCTTAGGGAGTTGACTTCTTGATTATTCACAACTAAAACCTATCTTCTTCTTTTTTTTAATCTTTCTAGTATTGACTTTGTTATGAAATTGTCAAAAGTATCCAACCGTATCAAACAGAACTATAGAAGATTCAGAGTATCCAAGTAGGTAGAAAACAGGAACCAACATTCTCACACACACAAATATTAGGGTTTCAAGCCCTGGCATGGGCAAAAGTGTGTGCGAGTACTTACCTGATAAAAAATAAAACAAACATTCATCAAAGTCCCTAATGTATGTGAGTTGTGATAATTGAAATGCTGTCTTTACCTTCTCAGCAGAGAGGTCTAGAGACTTGACATTACAAGTCAGCATGAATTTCTCTCTCTAAAACATATTCAGCAATGATGTTCATTAGCAATCAGGAATTCTGATTAGGACTTGCTATTTTATTTCCAACATATCCCTAAATTTATCATGGATAATGACCACAAAGATTCAGGACCAACACAGGACCATATAGACATATAAACATGCAAAGAAGCTTAACAGTGAGTGGTACGAAAACAATCCATGTCGTGGAGTCTCGTGAATTTGCCCATCTGTCCTAAAAACTTCGAGATTATAAACCGACTAGGGCATTCTTCCACACAAAAAAAAAAAAAAAAAAAATGTAAATCAGCAGAGTAAATAGCTTGCTTGAAAAATGATTTTATAAAACAATTCGAGAGAGAGGTCTACAGCAGTTTACCATAAATAAGGTGTTCTGTTCTGGTGTATAAAAGGTTGGCTTTAAATTAAGTGACAGAAATGAACTACGATATTTTAGACCACAAGTTAATCAGCTATTTTCTTTCGTGTCAGAACGGTAATCAAATCATGGCTTACCATAACATAACTAGTAACTGATAATACAACCAGGAACTCAAGGCCAAACTAGGACTTAAGAACTCACTAATGTAGGAATTTTCAGAAGCATTTCCGGTGAACAATGGAAGGTCCAGTTTCATCGTAATCTGTCTTGGTTATATGCTGATTCTGAGGGAAGACAACTTTGGCAAGTATGGCACCTCCCACCCATGCTGAATACATTGTCAAGTTCTCTGGCATATACTCTGGAGGCTGTAATGCACAAATCATAACAATTAGACATCGGAGAAAGTAGGATCTAATGATTGCTTCTCCTCATAAATTTTGTAAATACTAATACACATTAACCACTCAAAACAAAAGCTTTCAAAATACAATTGTTGTTTGATGGAGAGTGCTTTAGTTTGAATGGTTTTAGAATGCTCTCTCTAAGCATTTAGATCAATACGAGATAAATTGTAGGACTACCAACCTATTTCCTGGAAAGTGGATCCCATAATACTAAACTGAAGATTCCATTACTAACAATTTTTTTGTTTGAAAAAGCAAGTGTGTATTTCGGAAGACCATTTCCCAATTAAGTGTTCCCTCAAATCTAACGACTGCAAAGGAAAACTATTTAGCTGCAATTCAGCATATTGTTAACAATTTATCAGGCAAAGTATCATAGCATTCGATTGAAATCAACTTCCTTTTCATCGACCTAAACATAGTCAGCACTTCCATAATGTTATAAAATTATGTTGTGACACTCCAATTCATTCTTGCAAAATACACCGCAGTTTTTCAAACCTATTTTTTATAGGAAACAACTCAATAATGTTAAAGAGACGGAAGACACAAGGATCAGAAGGATGAAGAATCCTTCTTAAACAAAAAGAAAAATAGAAACAAAAGAGAATGAGCAATGGATAAGGAGAAGAGATGGAAAATTACAGCAAAGAAAGGCAACTCCTCCCTTGACAAGACAACCTGAACCCCCTCAAGCAGGGAAGAAATGAACCACACCCCCAACCCACACACACACACACTAAAGTGCCAAAACCATGTTGCTAGATTATCATCCCACTCATTCTACAAACAGTGCACTTCAATGCTCATCAACTTCTAAGAATATTATATTTAAACATCTTTTAGCTGTTAAAGAGTTATTACAACACATCTACAATGCTATAATGACCATTACTCAGTGCTGGAAAATACTAGAGACAAACCAACATTTGCCATTATTTGGCAGAAAGTGGCAGCTCTCAAACTTTGAATCTGTGTCTTCACAGTTGTCAGCCTGAACTTTTACCATTAAATATTATTGCAAACAGACCAAAAAGAGTGATAATTACTCATTTCTACAAAATACTAATAAGAATACCCAGAGAAGTTCACCCAATAGTGAAATATTGCTAAAAAAGAGACTCCACTGTTCAAGCAAAAGCATTGAGGGAAGAATGAGAAAATCTCAAATGGTATCACTTGTGCTAAAATAAGAGAAGCAATTATGGCCAATAATCCTGGACTGGATTACAAGCTACCTAAGAGAAAATGGACCAAATGAGCAGAGGACAACTTAGAATTACTCTGGCAAAACCAGATCAACTTAGAATTACTCTGGCAAAACCAGATCAACTTGATCAAAAAATTCGTTAACAGGTTCTGTCCGAAGTGCACGCCAATTGGTAGGACAGGCAAAAACACTTACAATTTTGGTCTCATCAAGCAAACTACATTGCATTAAAAACCTTTCGTAATGAAATAAATTACCTTTACAAGAGAAGGACGGACAGCTGATGAGCAGAGACTAGCTTCTTTCTGGAATCTATCCTCAAAACCTACAGTAGGCAATAATATAAGATGGAATCAGCAGATATATAACAACAGTTCACCCCATAAGGCAATCAACAAAGCACATCAGACCATCCTCGCATTCTTTCTCTGGAGAACATCAGCAGCACAAACAACAATCACCATCCAAGCTTATGAAGCACATGGACATCCTATGTTCTCAAGAACTTAAGAGCCAAAAAACCAAATAGAAAACTAAAACTTACATCTAGCTAAATTTATACAAAAATACGAAGTCTTATTGAATATTGTTCAATAGCATGTACTAAAATTCCATCAGAAAAGAACGTGTTGCTTGCATGTGAGCACACCAGCAGCCAGCCATGGAAGATACCACCCCTTCTTTTCTTTTATTTTATTCTTTTTTTTCCCCCCTTATTTGACAAGAAATAACAAATTGAAACATTAAAGATAGAAATTATAATATAATAGACCCCTTACCTAGAGTTAAACAAGTAAACAAAAAAATATAAAATGGAGAAAATATAAAAGGTAGAAAGATTTAAATAGGTAAGCTTATTTAGATAGAAGGAATAAGTTTCCAACAAAGATAAAATCATAAGGATGCCAATATATCTCAATTAAAGTTGAAACAAAGCAAATGAACTCACCAGACATAGAGGCAGTCGCACCACAGAGTACTGTGTTTTCCAGCAGCTGTCGGTGATTCTCAGATGATACAGACGAGATACTACGAACTAGTTGCTCAACAATTCCATGTGCCTCTAAACCCAAAATAGAAGGTTGGAATAAAGCCTCTCCAACAGTATATCTTTCTCGCCCAATCGTGATAACCTGAAAGCACAATTGCATAGAATTTGCATTCAGACATCTAAATACCCCCAAAGAAAAGGTTGAAATTAGAATAAAAAATAATAATAATAATTAAAAAGTTAACACATAATCTTGAAAAAATAATTATAGGACATATTCAACGGGATATGTACATCAGGTAATTGCTTGGAATTTAAATATTGCAATTTGCCAAAGATAGCCATATCTTAGCCACTGAATCCCATTCCTTCAGTTTAAAACTAATAATTCGTCACACAAAGAAACCATCATATTCTATTATCTCATTTTTGAGATATTTCAAGAATATTTATCCTGTTAATCTCTAGGTTCTTAATCCAAGATATTAACCCATACAATCTCTCGCTCTCTTGCATTCCCTCATGTGTTCTCATGCATACACAACTAGATAAATCATCCCCTTAGACTTTAATTAATTTTAAATACTTGAAACTGATTTTAAGGTTTATATAGAAATTCTGCAATTATATTATTTCTTTATTAACCACTGACATGTTTTGAAAATACATTTAGAACCCTATCTTTTCAAAAAGAATAATTGCAAAAAGTACGCCGTCATGTCCTTAGTGTTCTAGATGTATCCCTCACGTGTCCAAGCCTTGTCCAACCAAAAAAGAAATTAGCCATACTCCAGGCCACTCCCGGTGAGTGTCGGACACACGTCCGCCACAGCCAAGGCACCACTTAGGGGAGTGTCCATGCTCTCTTGATACATATCTAACATTAGATCAAGTTAGATTCGAATGTCAGTTACTCTTGTGAAGTTAAAACTAGGCCACATGTTCTGAATAGTAAATATCATCTCATGTATTGATGATTCCTTAAAAAATAAATACATTCTCATACAATATATAGCAATATCAAGAAACCCACCATTATCGCAATGTATACTTTTCACAAATTTATGACATCCACTACTGTTATACCAACGATATATTTGAAATATAGCAAACAGAAGGATGAATACATGAACATCTATGATCAGAGAAAAATATCGATAGGGCCTGAACCATACATATGAGAAAGTTCAAACACCTCTTGCCATGGAGTTAGAGCATGTTTGCTTTGAGGAGGGTGGTGGCAGTGGGAGGCACTGAAATGATTGAGAGTTAAAAATGGAAGCATTACATCCTTTTAGAGGACCTGTAAATGAGTATCTAGCACTAATTAGTTCAGAGGATTAATGGAATTGTGATTTGTGATTGATGGCCTATATGAACTTCTGAGCATTTACTATTTGCATTATGAACATTGCATACTTAATATTTGTGCATCTTTATGACAATATATGACTCGATCTTGATAGGGTAGTATAAAGATCTTTATTACAATATTTGCATTGTGACCTAGCTCTCACGAGAACATCCTTCGAATGCCAATTAGTTCTGAGGATTAATGAAATTGTAATTGATGACCTATATGTACTTCCAAGCATCTACTATTTGCATTATGAACATTGCCTACTTGATATTTGTGCATCTTTATTACAATATATGAATCAACCTTTATAGCATAGAATTGTGGCCTAGCTCTCACAAGAACTTCCTTAGAATGCATGGTGTGCAAATTATAAGATATGATGAGAAAGAGAAAGAGAATAAACAGAGAGCAGAGACCAGACAGGAAAGGGAGGGTGTTCTGCATCTTCCAACTAAATTGACAAGAGAATAAGAGGGGCAAAGGAGAACAAAAAGAGAAGCGTAACAGGTGACCTCCAAGCCTCTTAATATCCACAAGAGCTGAGAGAGAGAGAGAGAGAGGTAAGAAAGAGAAACAGAGGAGGGGGAGAGGGAGAGAGGAAATATTTTTAAAAAAAAAAACTACTATTAAATGTATCTTGTCTTTTCCCCTGAGAGGCCTCCTCTTTGTAGGCTCACAGAACTCTATAAAAACATTATTACCTTATAAAAACCCCAGCCAACAAGCACCATGGAAACAATATAGGCTCAAGATTTTATTCCTGAAACCCTTATAAAGTCCAAAATTTAGAAAATACAGGAACATTTTTTTTTTTTTTGAATATATATATATATATATAAGAAGGAAGAAAAACTCCAACAATACTTCTAAAATCGAAATCGTCTCCTCGTAGGCTGCACTGAAGCTCAACACGATGAGAACCTAAATAATCCCCCATTTTTGTGTTGTTGGAGATGATTAGACCTCAAAGAACATGGTTGCTTCCTTGATATCCTTGGTATAGATCTCCTCTCTAATAACAAACTGCAGTAACCTGGGTCTCCTGAATTTATACAGACATGTGGTAGCTAAATGAACTATGCTAATTTCTTTTAAGTTGTATATAAATATATGACAAGAAGGAAGATAGGACGATGAGAACAAATACCAAAGAGGAAAAAGGAGGAAGGCACTTTCCTTCTTCCAAACAACTTGTTCACAATAGTAGAAGGGGAAAATGAGACAAGAGAAGAAAAGAGAGGAAGGGTACAAAGTTGGTTTCCAAGCCTCTCAATAGGGGAGAAATAAGATTAGAGAGGGGCAGAACAGCATGTAGAGAAAGAGAAAGAGAGAAGAGGGTAGAAAGAGAGACATAGCAAAAGCACTCTAAAAAATGCAAACAGTAACCCATCTCAAAGTGTAATCAGTTTTTCCCTTAAAAAAACTACTTCATAGCCATCAGAAAACCCTGCCATGATGTTGTTATCTACACAAAAAAATTTACCACCAGCCCTACCCAATATGCTAATAACATAGTCCTTAAATTCTATTCCTAAAACCTCAACATCTAATAATAAAAACATAGGTCAATATTTAAATAAATAAAAATAAATAAATAAATAAAAAGAGGAAAGAGAGACTCCTAGTGAGACTTATCATCAAAAATATCTTCTTGTGGGTCCTCTTTAAATAACCTTCAGGATGTACTGGTAAGCTGAACTTCACCAAAAATCATCAAAAATAAAACCCCTAGGATATTAGGATGCATCATGTGGTCTAATGTTTCTTAAAGCCTTAATTGACAAATCCAAGTTTTGCTAAAAGTTTACATTTTTTTTTTTTTTTGGGGAGGCAACAACTTGATGTCCAGTATCTCTGTGATATTAGGAACCTGGATATCACCATCGGTATTGATGAATTTTTTTTATTGGTTATTCCTGCTAATCTCAGACCATAATGCATTGTTAAGGTGAAAAACTCAGATACAAACCTGCCCGTCAGGCAGAGTATGTTGCTCTTGCTGGCAGGACTTTTGGGTCTTCTCGTAAGCAAGATCATCTTCAGCACAGCATGAGTATTGCTCTTTCAATTTCTCAACATCAGAAATATTGATTTTTACAAGTGGATTGGACTTAGCAAGCTCCTGAGCAAGCAGCTTTGTCAATTCAATACCTCCAATCTCAAATCTTCTCGAAGCTATCTGATGAACCGCTCCTTCAATCACTGGTGCAATATCTGGCCAAATGAAAAAAAAAAAAAATCATACAGCACAAACTATCAGCTCTGCTCATGTAGCATCTAGCATGTTCTACAAACAATAATGCAAAAGAAAAAAGAAATTATGAAATGTCTAGAACCTCAATTCCATTCCAGATGAACCATTTATCAGATAAACCTAGGCATTCTTGGTATCAAATGTAAGAAACGCCAAAACCAAACATCGAAGCCAAGTAAAATGATATTGATGATATGTGAACCACAAATAAGATCAGTAACTACATGAAAAATGGAATACACAAGTCCATAGGAAACTCCACAAGCTAAAAGTAACTAACAAAAAATCACTATGCAACCTATACATACCTATCTTTCCATGACCAATATCGACAGTACAGCCTGAGATACGCCCCACTGCATAAAGTGATAACACTGCTTGCTCCGACGCATAAAAGCCCGAGATGTTAAATGTTTCAAACATCAATTGCACCAATTGTTCTCTAACAGTCTGTTGGGAAGAAGAAAAAAAAAGTTTCTAAATTTTATTTGATAAAAAGAAAAAAGAAGGGATCATCGGTGCAATGATAAAATGCTAGGGCTGATAAGCCTAATAATGCAAGTTTGAGTTTGAGAGCAATTACTTTGTACAAATAATGCCAAGGTAATTAAATATCCAATCTACCCTCTCAGCACAGCACACTGATGTAACAATACAGGGTAATGGCCTTATTATAATGAAACAAACTATGAAGCATGGATACATCTATAAGGAGTATGTATTCCGGTATCCGTATTATGATTGTATCATATAGTAGTGCTATCTATATTTATGACAACTCTCAAATGTATACAGCTGATAAGTTAGTTAGTTCCAAAGAGTCCTGCTCCTACCAGCAAGGTCTCTAATCAAAATGTATTAGCATTTGAATAGATGCTCCCCTCTTCTGACTAGCATACTTGATCTCATTTTACTTTGGCCTATAACTGTGCTATTGCCTAATGGGATTGCACATGCTTCTAAACACGCACATACTGCACATGTGATGATGCGAGTGACTTTATCAAAAAAAACAGAATAACAAGCCTCAAAAAATAAAAATAATTATAATAAAAAGGGAACGGTTTTGCTAACCTTGGGAGTTGCAAGTGGGTCCGTGAATAAAATTTGTCCTTCATTGCCCATTTCCCATCCAAGGCCAGTATATAGAACATGATGCAACAAATCTTCCATGGCATCCCAATCTCTAATAAAACCCCGTACTACTGGATCAACAGTAATGTCCTCATCTAATGAAGTATCAGTCAATGATCCATCTTCAGGCATGCGTTTCATTTGGGTAGGAATTATCTGATCCATTATATAAAAAAAATTTAAAGACTTCCTCAAGCAGTCAAGTACATATTCATTCAAAAGATGTCCCGAGTCATAAAAAGGACACAAATCGTGGACACTATAGCATAGGCGAATTGTGATATAAAAATGCTTTACCAATTCTATAAAATTACATGTGTGTATACATTCATGTGTAAAGAAAAAAGGAATTGATTAAAAATTTCATTATAGTGTACATATTAAGCCATAGGCAACCATATGACCCAAATCCAACCATAATGTCTCCGGTTTCAACCCACCCCCCCCCCCCCCCCCCCCTCTCTCACTTGAGGTGAGAATGTAATTGGAAGCCCACTCCACTGAAATTATAGTGCACAGATAACGAAAAATAAAGTGTTGAGACAACAGCCTAAATGTCAATTCTCTCCAATATTTTGAGGCAACTCTTCAAGATTTCAAGAATTTTTACTTCTCTACTTATCAGAAAAAGAGTCTTTATTTACAAATTTTCAAAGAAGCTAAACACTAAGTAAATTATGAAAATTGTTTTTTTCTAAAACACAATTGCTCTTCTAAAGGCTAAATCTTTTTCTAAAATGGAATTCATAATCGACATATTTGCATTACATGAAGGAAAGAAAGAACCAACTACTCCCAATATCATACTTCTTGATATGATGGAAAAAAAATTAAAATCAAATAATACAATAGAAAATATCACTGTGTATTTGTATCTGATGTTATATTATATACTCCACCAATTTCCCGTTAGAGCTACGGTACTTGTCACCAATTGCTTACAAACCATGCTTAAATGCAGCTAATGACATCCTTCAAAATAACCTTCAACTAACTTCTAAGAGAAGTTGCATGCTCACAACTATATGACAAATCCCTTAAAATATATGAGAATTAGTAGGCACCAACCCTATTGAAGTTCGAAAATTTCGCAAATAACCGTACGCTGTAATTTCACTTTGCTCATAATTCAGTAGTTCAGTCACAAATTAGTGTATGAATGATTGCATTAACTTGAGGACAAAATTAACAGCAATGCATATATGTTTAATAGCATTTGTAAACAACCTCAATAAATTATTTCACTATTGTATTTTACTAAAGTTCAAATCTTTTTTAATTTTTCTCCTGGAAACCAACAAAATTAAGAATTATGTTCAGGAACAAAATAACCATAAAGTTTGGTTGGTGAGAGATTGTATTAACTTGAGGACAAAATTAACAGCAATGCATATATGTTTAATTGCATTTGTAAACAACCTCAATAAATTATTTCACAATTGTATTTTACTAAAGTTCAAATCTTTTTTAATTTTTCTCCTGGAAACCAACAAAATTAAAAATTATGTTCATGAACAAAATAACCATAAAGTTTGGTTGGTGAGAGAGGTAATAGAGACTATTAATTCCACTGGACCTAAATGGCAATTTTTTACTTCATAATTTGTTTTCTAGGAATTTTACAAGCAGAAAAAGTGAAACCTCAGGAGTCCGCTATCTAATTCTTTTCTTTTTTCCCTAAATTTTCTAGGGAACCAAACAGAAGATAGGGAGAGGAAAAGAAAATTGAGAATAGTTGTCATTTACCATGGACGGAGCCTGATCTGGGACGGCAAAGCCTGCTTTAAGGAGCTTCGAACCAGCGTCAATCACCACTGCCTCCATGGTGCGGACCTTCTTCTCAAGTCAGACGCAAACTGAATGAAGAGCAAAAACCCTAGTTCTCGATCTTCAGCTGTGATGGAACCTAGAGAGAGAATAGAGAGTGAGTCTCCACTTTCAAGTCTTCGTTCTTCAGAACACAAACCAGAGTCCCAACAATTATCTAAGCGGGCAGTAAGATTAATTTGAATTGAAGCATCTAAAAGAAAATTTCTGCTAACAGATGCATCTAATATGTACTACATAATACACACGCAGGGGACTATTTTGTAATTTTCTATTTTGTCCTGGAAGGTTAGTTTTATGAACTAGCAAGAAAAGAAAAATTTTGAAAGTAAATTACTTTCCATAACCATCCTACTTTCCAAAAGGGTCCCTTTGGTTAGCCGAAAATATGTATATAGTCCTAATTTAAAGCCTAGCCTCAGAAAATTGTAACTTAATAGAAGTCCTAATTTAATGAGCCAGAAAGTTATAAGAGTCCTAATAAACATATATATATATAGAGTGCTAATTTAAAGAGTCAACAAATTATATATATATAAAGTCTTAATTTAAAGCGTCAGAAAATTGTAACTTAATTAGGAGTCCTAATTTAAAGAGTCAAAAAGTCATAATATAATTAGGAGTCATAATTTATTAAAAAGAAGTTGCCCCTTTTATGAGTCAAAAAATAAGAAAGAGAAATAACTGACAAGGGTATAATTGGAAACTAATATATAATGATACAATTTTCATGGGAAACTAAAATTTTCGTGTGTGAAAAATCAACCATGGGAATATCATTTTCCTTAAAACTTTGTTTAAAAAATTTTGGTTTCTTTTCCTTTCTAGTTAGTTCACACTAACCAAACTAACCAAAAAAGAAAAAGAAAAATTTTGATTACTTAGTTGTATGAACTTACAGTAACACCTTTTCTTTTATGGTAAGTTTCATGTTATTAAAATTATCAAATGAAATTTTATTTTGTTTTGGTTTACTTTAATTTCTTTTATTTTCGCTCGTCATATCAAATTCTACAATACCAAACAAAGCCTAAAGAAGAGAAGATGTTTATCATTAATTTACACCTTTAAATACATATATTAATGTTTTGTTTGCTTAGAGTGAAAAAAAATAAAAAATAAAAAGAGGATGGAGGAGACATCCAGGGAAGGAAGAGGAATTGTCTTCATGAATAGTAGAAACGATAAATGGGGTGATATTTTTTCTTGTTTGATTAGAAAGAAGGGAAAAAGAGTTATTATATTCTTTTTACCAGTATACCCTCATTATATAAAATTATAAAAATTAAATATTCATTTTAAATATTTGAAAAGGTTAAAAATAAAAATTACATATTCACCTCTCCTCCCTTCCTCCGTCAACACAAAAAAGTTCCTCCCCTCGTCCATCCCATAAAAAAATGGTAAAGGATGTGTTATTAATTTATCAAGCAACTCTTTATTTTTCTCCCTCCTCTTGTGAGACTTCAGTCTATTTAGTATAATGTTGTAAGTTATGGACTTTTAAATTTTAACTACATTTTTGGACTATAAATTGATGTAACTAAAGCGTGTTCCTTGTTTAGATAAGATGGAAGAACTATCTGTATTGTGTGTTGGGACAGGATAGGTTAGATTTTAAGGCCCAGTGAGGCCATTGCATTTATTTTTGTATTTCAACGGATTGTAGAGGGACTTTTTCTGCGGAGGTCATGCCGAAATTTTATACATATTTTTTTATTATTATTTTGGTATCCTTTGGGGCGTTACATCTTCCTTCTAGTTTTGGTGCAAGATAGTGGAATCTGCACTATCCTCTGGAAGGCCAGAAATGTTGTTGTCGCTGGTACTGATCCATGGTGCCTGCAAAGGATTGCTGCAATGTTAATAGAGCAGTTTCTACAGTACGAAAACATTATCTGGTTTCCATGTGGGTGGTTCATACTCAATAGTGAAGTGTGTGAGACTAGTCTCTCTTCTTGTGCTGTTAAATAGTCCAAGCCTTCAGGAAAAAGAAGAAGAAAAAAAATGGTCCAAACCTTCTCTAGGCATTTTGAAGGCCAATGTTGATGATGCTGTTAAATTCAAGGTGATGAAGTACGGTTGTGGTCCGGTTGTTGAAGACCACAGAAGCTGGATTGTTGCTGCTGCTCCAATTTTCAAAATCAGTAGTGTCCAATTGTGCTTTGTGAAAGACATTCATCATTTTTTTTCCGTGTTGTCCTAGCAAAGAACTCCACAATACTTTTTGAGAAACTCAAACCCTCTACTTTTCATTGAAACAAGAGGAACCCTCTCTACGTTTCAAAATACTTTTTGAGAGACTCAAACCCTCTACGTTTTAAAATGCTTTTTGAGAGACTAAAACCCTCTACCTTTCACTTTAAGACCAGAGGAACCCTCTACCTTTCACTTTGAAACGAGATCATTTCATCCTCATAAAGGGGAATGCTGCTGCTCATGCTTTGGCTGTGCTGCGTTGATAATTTTTCTCCTGTATTGATGGGTGCGGTAGAAGAAGCTGATTGTACTACAATCTGTTTTTTTGTTGAAATGATATTCTTTTCTTGCATTCAAAAGTTAAAATAAACTTATGTGACATGATTTAGAAGCTGATTGTACTTCAATCTGTTTTTTGTTGAAATGATATTCTTTTCTTGCATTCAAAATTTAAAATAAAGGTATGTGACATGATTTGAATCTAATCTGATCATAGAGAAGATTTACAAGTAGCGAGGAAGAGGTATAGAGGGGAAGAAAAGAAAAACCACTTCTATTGTTCAACCAGTGTGATTCAAAAGAACAAACAAAACTGAGCAGGATACTGCGAGTACTTGCATCCTGCATACTAACAAAAACATCTCTTACTACATATTTACATTCATAGAACTTTAAAAACTTTTAAACATTCTAGGCTTGTGCTTCGTTTAGGAGGCCTTTCAAAGCATGTTTGCTGCACCACTAGAGTAGCGGTGATGCAAATTCGTAGTCGTGAATAGGTTCTCCTGGCCAAAGGTTGGAACTTCAGCATCATCTGCTGAACTTGTGGTGCAAGGGAAGTGAGAAATCTGTTCCTCGTCCAAGCTGCAGTTGAACGGTCCTCTTGTTCCAGTAGCTTCTGGCTTAAAATCTGGTGATGCTGCAGCGGAAACATCTTGTGCATTATGATCAATCTTATTGAACACAAGGCTGGCAACAGCTCTGTCAATGGTATTTGTCTCTAATTCTGCTTCTCTTAACCTGAAAACAGAACAGTTTGATCATGAGGGCTTGATTGATCAGTTCGAACGACATGATTAGTTTGCGCTCTTCATAATCAAAGATCAATTCAAGGGCTCTCATTGAACACACTTTCTGCTTAAAACAACATAATGACACATTTTTGGATTGTTGGACCTGATTTTCCGCTGTCAAATTGTCCCTAAGCTTCTAATCTAGGTATCTCAAGGTCAACCTTGCTAGAAAATTCTATAGACATTCAACAAGTATAGACATTTACCCAGCTGTTTCATCAAGGACAGTCCATGGAGGGGCGCTCTCTACGATGAGCTCTCCATTTTGGCCCTGGTTCACTCTAGAGTTCTTAGCAAGACGGTACAAAGCATCTCGAAAGCAGATTCTGGTCTGGTCAGACAACTGAAAAGATTGGAAAAAGAATAAAGAATTATAATCTTAGTATAACTTGCATTTGCTAAAGCTTCTGAATCTTAACTTATATTACCTGTGTCATCGCTGTTTCAAGATCCTGCAGCACAGACTCTTCCATTGATGTTTCACCACCTACTCCATTGATGCAGTTTTGCTCATATGTGACTGGGACCTTCATCACCGGTGCCTTGAGCAAACATTACCATGATTAATTAACCTTGATAATCGGTTCAAAACTGAACTACACATATACTTGACTAGGTGAAGGAAATTTCATGTAAAATGCAAATTACAATGTGTGTGTGCAGACCATTCACTGGTTCCCAACCGTTTAACTATCCAGTCCAGGTTTGACAGACTAGTTCTTAATATTATATTGTTTATTTTCCAATTAATAATCAAATGGAATAATATCTCACCTTTCCTGGGGTATTATCCCTTTGTCTCGAGTTGCTAAGATCGAGACACAACATAGCAACATCTTCTTTCTTTGAACCTGTTGATGAAGAAAAGGCATGTGTTTTAAGATAATTAAGATTCCAATGCCATAAATATGGCTTGAGATACAGAGTGAAACGAATTCATGGCTGAAAAGAGATTATACCGGCTGGGAACGAGTTGTGCTGAGATTCAGGAGAATAGCAAAATGATCCATTAACATATTCCACACCAGTCATATCTTCGTCAAGTATGGAATTCCTACATGAACGGAAAATCGGACGGTGAGAAACCATATCATCAATTTGTAAAATTTAAAGGTATCTCAGTAAAAAATCAGGAAAAAATCTTAACTACAAAGGAGATCAAAAGATTCCATTGAGTTACATACAGCCTTTAAAGCAAAAATCATGACAAAAATAGGCCAACTGCAGAAATTAGGAGCCATTACAACGCTTCATCACATTGGATCAGTTATAATATTTCAAGTGATGACCAAATTGATGCAGCTTCACTGAGATTATCAGAATATTTTACAGTAATGGCTCTCTTTTTCTGTTGTGACCGCAGTCAAAATGATGGATTTTTTAAAATCAAAAACAAATTTTAGTTGTCATGAGACATACAGGCATGCTCTTAACTATATGACAAGCTTATAAAGCATTCAATACTACATGGTTTCCTACATGCATCAATTCAAGTATCTTAACCCCAGAAGTTACGCTTGTACAAGAAAATGTCTTCCATCTGATCAACTCCGACCAGATCATTGATCTGGTAATCTGGCCACTCGTATGGAAGCGTCCATTGAACATCACAGATGCTTGAATTACGAGAATGCACCCTATCATTAGCAGAACCGTCCACGTCCATATCGAGGCTTAGTTCTCTCTCACATGGATTTTTCCCCTTAACAAGGTATTTATTTGAGGAAACGAAACATTCTGGTGCAGTTATTCCCCATTGCATCCACTTCTCTGATGACAGAAGCCTCTCTAATGGTTCATGATCTCTTGGAACAACAAGATCATCACCATCACTTCCGAAATACCAATCCATGGTATTTATCTGGAAAAAGAAAAGATTTAAATGTTACAAAAAATTTAACTCCAGCTTTCATAAAAAAAAAAAAAAAAAAAAAAAAAAAATATATATATATATATATATATATATATGACAATATTTGAAAAACAAACATTTATAAAAATTCTAAGGAGACCCTAGTATTAGTGTATATGAACATGAAAACACTACAACAAATCATCAAAAAAATGTTCCAAGATTTATTTTGGATACAAACAACTGGAAATAAATCATATAATCCAATATATGACACACAAAGAACAAACACTATATATATATATATATATATATATAGTTAGGGGATATATAGTATAAGAAGCTTTGAGCATGAAAATAACATGATTTTTGGTCAAAAAATTGCTCAATAGTTCCAATTTTTGAGGAAAGGAAAAAAAAAATAAAAAAAATAGGCATTTACAAACTGTTATTTGGGATGCAATATAACAATTTATGACCATACAAGGACAAGATTTATCATCCCAATAAAAATAAATAAATAATTAAATAATTAAATAAAAACCTCCAAAGATCTAACTGTAGACACAAAAGAAACTTTTACCACCTACTACAAAGACTCTACAACTAGCAGGGTATACTCGATCTAATTGATTAGAGTCCAAACCATGTTCCAAGAATCATAGAACAACCAAATCCAAGTCAACAGAAGCTAAAGAGTAGGAAAATAAAGCAAAATCATAAAATTAAATAAATCGAAAAATATAAAGGAAGAACATGAAATCCTATATTATCAATATGTACGTAAAAAAGTAAACTTAGAAGGGAAAATAAAAAATTAAATAAGTTTCGAGGAAAATTCACTAATACTGATCAGAAATTTAGAAATCTATGATTAAATGAATCAACAGACAGAGAAGAAGAACATGAAATCCTATAATATCAATATGTATGTAAAAAAAAAATTGATCTTTAGAAGGGAAAATCAAGAAGAAGAGAAAACAGATTTGTGGAAAATTCACTTATACTAATAAGAAATTCCCAAATCACAGAGAACTATAAGGATTAACTTGAATATATACTGAAAAAAACACAGAAATTGAAATAAAAAGTGACCTGGGATTGATTAATCGGAGGACTGAGAAGACCCAGTTTCGAATTGAGTGAAATAACTTAACCCAGATGATGAAAACTGATTGAAATGGTTGAGAGTTGAAAACTTGATGGGTTTTTCTAGCGTTGGAGTAACAGTGGTTCAGCTGAAAAAACAGAGGCGGCTGTGGTTATGTAGGCTTTGTTTATTATCTTTACTATATTTTAGAGAGAGAAAGAGAGGCCAGTTGGATTGTGTTTATGGCTGAGAATCGATGGACCTAAGTAGTGGTTCACAGCCCTCCATCTAAAACTGAACTCTCGTTGCTCCACGTGGCAGAATGGTCCCACATAAACAAAAGCAAGGACTCTCCTGATCCAAAAATCACGTGACGCACACCAGACACGTCCCCAACTTTCTTAATTCCCCAAAATACCCCTCCCAGGGTTATCTCATATTGGGGGCCCCATCTCAACAATTCTTCACTATTGCAAGCCACTGTAGTCGTGTGAGTCAGAGTCACCTAATGATTTTCTTTTTTCTTTTTTCTTCTTATCACTGTGTTGTATGTACTCGCCTTTGTCAAAAAAAAAAAAAAAAATTGCAGAATTACTCTGTTTTTCAACTTAATGTTTGCTAAATAGCCAGCTATAAAATTTGTCCAAGGTAAAAAAAATTGCCAAACAGCAAGCTATGAAATAGGACAGGACAACCAATAAAAACGCAAACATATAATTTTATACCCTAAATAACTTTTTTTTAACCTAAACATCAAACTATAAAAAATTTTAAACTAGAAATTTATACAGACCGAATTGAGTGTATTTTTATGGTACATTGATATCCCAGTATCTTCACTGCATCCAAACAAGTTGTATCACTCTGTTTGATCCAAACAAATCCCTTATTTCTTAATTTTCCCTTACATTTTTCTGTCAACTATTTATCTTTTAATTCAGAGAGCATTGGCTTTTGTTAGTTAAATATAAACTTCTTTGCATGTATAAAAAATGTTCACGAATCATATTGGGAGAAATTATTATATGGTGCTAGTTTATTGGTGTCCGGAACATCTAATAATTTTGAATATAGTTAAATTAACAAATATTATAAATAATATTAATACACTGACACGTGGTACGGTGCTATCCATATACAGACGGTGCTATGTGACAAAATAAAATTAAATAAATATACCCAAGTTCATCTCATATTGAGGGCCCCATCTCAAGAATTCAATAGTTCAGACCTATTTATTTTTTTTTATTTTTTTTTTTTTTGCCTACAATTGTCGAATTACTCTGTTTTTCAACTGCTACAAAATTTGTCCCAGGTAAAAAATTGCCAAACAGCAAGCTATAAAATGGGACAGGACAACCAATAAAAACGCAAACATATAATTTTATACCCTAAATCACTCTCTTTTTTGTAAGCTAAACATCAAATTATAAAATTTTCTAAACCAAAAATCTATACTGATAGAATTGAGTGTATTTTTAACGTACAAGTGATATCTCATTATCTTCACTGCATCCAAATAAGTCATATCACTCTGCTTGATCCACACAAATCCCTTATTTTCTAATTTCTCCTTGCATTTTTCTGTCAATTCTCTACCTTTTAACTAAGAAATCAATGACGTTTGTTAGTTAAATATAAACTTCTTAATTACACGTGTTATGGTAAAAAGTGCTCATGTATCATTTTGAATGTAGTTAAGTTGACACGTGTTATAAATAACATCAATGCATTGACAAGTAGTACAGTATTGTCCATATACTAGGCCTATTGTGAGACAAATAAATAAATAAATAAATAAATATATTGAGGCCCCATCTCAAGAATTCTTGAATATTGCAAGCCACAGTAGTCGTGTGAGTTCAGACCTATTGTCTCTATGAGGATGACACTGATTTTAGTTTTTTAACTAAAGTAAGTAGCTTATATTTAGAAATGAGAGTAATGATGGTGTTTTCATTAAGATATATATATTAAAAAATAGAATTACACTGTTTTTCAACTTAACGTTGGCTAAACAGCCAGGTATAAATTTTGTGCCAGGTATAAAATTGCCAAACAACAAGCTATAAAATAGGAAGGGCAACCAATAAAAACGCAAACATATAATTTTTACACACTATAAAAAGATTTAAACGAAAAATCTATGCAGATAACTTACAGAATTGAGTGTATTTTTGATATTCCAGTATCTTCACTGCATCCAAACAACTATATCATTCTGTTGGATTCAAAGAAGTCCCTATTTTTCTGTCTAATTGCCTGTAATGTCGTTTTTAGTTAAATATAAATTTTTTACTTTTACACGCCTCATAAGTTGCGTGAATATACTGACACGTGGTATAGTAGCGTCAATATATTGAGACGTGCTGTGAGATCAAAAATTAAATAAATATATGCGTTGAATTGTCATATATTCCCTATTTGTTTCTCCCAAAAATGTTATTTTGTTGGGTTAATAGATCACGGTAGACTTATCTTTCCACCATCCGAATCAAATGATTTCCGTAACAAATTTATTTTTTAAAAACGTAGAAAATTTTACGTCAACACTTAACTTGTTTACGTAAAATCACTCCAAAACAATTCACCTTCAAACTAAACTATATATTTTTTGTAGCTTTTGTTGTAGATGTGACTTCTACTTAGATCCACATCCTCCTTGATGAATGTTAAGGATGCATTAAAATCAATTATTCAAATTAAATTTTAGAATGCACCAGTATTTTTACAAATGTCTACAATTTCTACTACCTCTACTAGTATCCTACATACTTTTGTAGGACTTGTTTGGTACGTATTTTATTTTTGTTTTAGGTAATTATAACAATGTTTTTGGTAAAAAACATACGAGTGTGTTTTTCGCGATCCAACCCAAAAATTAAAATGTTAGGTGTGACTAACGCTTATAAAAATATTGTAGATGGGTGATTTGCGATCTGCTCCAAAAATAAAAATTGTTAGGTGAAGTTAACACCCAAAAAAAAACTGTAATAGGTAGCTGGATTCGAAGTCGGGCCACCTTATCTACCCGGGGTGGGGACTCGGATACCTTCGAGACTGGCGCTTGGCGTGACAACAGATCAGGGACTGGACTTGACTCTAATACTAACTGTAACGGGTGGATGTTTCACAATCCGGTCCAAAAGCTTAAACTGTTAGTTGAAAGTAACAGTCAACCTATATATACCCATTTACTTTTTCATCCGAATCCAATATAGGACACCTATAACATAACGATGAATAGTAAAATAATTATTAAAAACATGTTTTCATGATTTTAACACGAGTCACCAAAACATAGTAAAAAGTGAACCTTAATAGAGCCCCACTCTTTTGCATGAATCTTTTGTGGATTATAAATTATTGATTAAATATAGATGTATAATATCGAATTTGTTTTTATATTTTGTCCCTTTAGAAAACTCATACAATTGTTTTTTCTTAATAAGACTTTAACAACATTGAGAAAATATCACTGACTTTCAAATTTTTCATTTTCCATTTATATATTTTCTCCCTTCAGAAAGCCCTCAAACAATTTTTTTAATTCTTAATAAGACTTAACGGTACATAGAAAAAATATCACTGACTTTAAAATAATAATAATAATAATAATTAATTTTATTACCCCATATTATTTTATTTTAATTAGTGGTAGTGTCTAACTTCTTAGAATACTTCATAAACCATACAATTTTTTTTTTTTTTTTTTTTTTAAATCTATTAATCAAATCATAATGATAATTTGTGTCCACAAAATTGAACTAAACTCTATAGAATGTATAAAATAATTACATTTTTTTTTTTTTATAGGAATTAGTAAATGCAAGAAATATAATACGGAGTATATGGTTAGCAGAAAAATGAAACAGAAAGAGTAAAACCGAGTATTTCTTCGACTCGTGCCCTAGCGCAGAGATAAAGAGAGAGAGGGAGAGAGTAAGCGAAGAAGATTGTCCTCAGCAACCATCGTTGTCATCCGTATCACTGCCTTCGTCAGGTAACCCTAGGTTCTAATACACACATATCTACGATTTGCGAGAAGGGGAAAATTAATAGACTTGAAATAGATATGCAATTGCCAATCATGTTTACTGAGTTTATTGATTGATCGAATGGTATTTGAATGACAAACATGATGGGTTTGAATTGTTGGGAAATTACTGTTGAATGATCCGTTTATGCGATGATTTTGATTAACAAGCAACATTTTTTTGAAAATAAACATAGATTTAATTGAACAATCCTCCCCAACTTATATAACATCCTCCCCAACTTATAATAACACATATATATGTATGTTTGTGTGCCCTAATAAATAAGAGCTCGGTCTCTCACACACACACGCAGTGATATAAAGCTATATGTTGCTTGTCCAGTACAGTGTTAGGCTATTTTCTCCGTTTCTTTGAGATTGAGGGTTATATATTAGCAGTATCATTTTATTTATTTTTAATAATAATATGAGCATAGTAGCACCTGTCTATGAGACTGAAGACATGGGAGTAGATATTCCAGCTTTCTTTCACCCGCTGGTATGAGAAATTACTTTCGGGATTTCAGAGGTCAGAGAAGGCTTGATGATTGATTTAGCTGTGATGTTATGGCCGGAATTCGGTTCCGGCTTGCCCGATGATTGGGTTTTTTTTTTTTGGGGGGGGACCCTATTTAGTACTCTCTTATAGTCTGATGTATAAAGTTTAGGGTTTGGAGTGGAATATTGAGAGATTGAAAATTGCAGAAAAAAAGTGAGAGCCAGGGTGTGGGGACTAAAACTTGTAATCTCCAGATTTTTGCATAGTGAAAGTTTTCGCCAGCTCTTCACCTGTAGACGTAGGCTTTGCCAAACCACATAAATCTTTGTGTTCTTTATGTGTGGGGTGTTTATTTTCTGTCGTGTTTTGTGCCTTTTAGTTGGGTTCGCTCCATTTGTCATAACAATAACAAATATATATATATGTATGACACTAAATTATATACATTTTTTATATTCCCGTGTGCAATTGGGACTTTTATTTTTTATTTTATTTTATTTTTTGTGTCATTGGGAGGTAAATCCATGGTATGTGTGCAGATATTATAATGAAATCAAATATATAGATTAACGGCTTGAGTTACTTCTTATTGCAGTTTTAGTTGGAATTTATCAGGAAATGTTTAAGAACACATTCCAGTCTGGTTTTCTCTCCATTTTATACAGCCTTGGGTATGGCTTTTTTCTGTTTACGACATTTTATATTCCAAATTGGTAGATTACTTTAGACATTCCTATTATTGAAGGTCCAAATCCTTTTGGGTTTCTGCAGGAGCAAGCCTTTGCAGATATGGGATAAAGAAGGTGAGTAGCTTCTTCTATGGTATTGTTGGTGGTGATGTAGTTTTTCTTTCTTTTTCTTTTTCTTTTTCTTTTTATTTTATTTTTTACACCTGACTTTGTAGCTAATGTTTATGCTATATTTTCGTGTGTGTGGTACATTGACTTTCTCTGGTTTAGAAAGTTTATCATGCATCTTATGTTGATGTTAATACTTGATTTGTGTGGACTGGTTCTATAAAATTGTCAGTTTTTATTTTTGTTTTTTATATTGATAAAAAATATATATATAGATATATATATGGCTAGTCACTAGTGCGATGATAAAAATCAATGAAAGCTTTACCACAGGCTTCATTAACAGTACCCTGTTCTTATCGCTGTGAGTATTTGAGAATTGATCTTTCAAATTTTAAATAATGTACTATCTCAAACAATGTAAAGAAAAAAAGGCCAAAACAATAAGTTTTGGTTGGGTTAAGATAGGACTCAAGTTTGATGCCTGGAGTTCTTTTTTCCCCCTTTGATTTACAATATCGCCATTCATCTTTACTTATCAAAAAAAAATATCGCCATTCATCTAGGACTAGGAGATAAAATGAACAAAAAGGGGAAAAAAAAAAAAAAAGAAGGAAACTTTTCAAGGAGGATTAGAATGATAGTATGAGACATTTTTTCTTTTTATTCTTTGAAACAATGGAGCTTAATGGTAAAAAGTCATCAAAACTTGGAATTGTATAATATGTTCTTTACACTGAATTTTGGACATAAAATGCTTATACGCCAGAATTTAGTTGCCTCCGCCATCTCATGGTTGCTTTAATTATGCCTTGTATTTCTTAATTCAAACATGAAAATTCGAAAGACCGAGTTTTCTGTACCCCATTGCCAGCACCATGTTTGTTAAATATATGTTCACTTATTTACCAAAAACCAAAAGACTTGGTTTTAAACAAATTTGAGATATTATACAGCTGCCACATTAACATAGTAACTTGATTATGAAAGAGCAATTGATTAGGGTAGGTTGTGTTCGGACTCGTGAATTAACAAAGCTTAATAATATCCATATTCAACAAATCTCTGTTAGTGTTGGATAATAGATACGAAGTGATGCTATTTTCAATTTGGTAGTGTCTGGATATGATTTTATTGATAGTTAATCATATAGAAGTAAACTTCTACTAAAGTGAAAACAAAAATTATAATTTTTTTTTAAAATTTTTATAATTAAAAGAACAGTTTATTTACTCTCAGAATCCATCTGAAACTTTTGGAACAATCTGTGTGAGTGAGAAATAGACTCTTTTTTTTTTTTTTTTTTTTTTGGGAATTTCGGTGTAACACTCTAATGTTGATTAGTGTTTTCAAATGTATGGAAAGTGCTTTTTTTTTTTTTTTTTCTTTTTTTTTTTTTTTTTTTTTTTTTTTGCCCCTTTTTTCACTCTTGGGTCTCTTGTAGTTGTTAATGGACAGATAAAACGACCACAAGATGAAGACATACAGTCCAACGTCCTTGAAATTGTGGGATCAAATGTCCAGTCAACATACATTACATGCCCGGCAGACCCAGCTGCAACACTTGGTATAAAGCTACCATTCTTGGTTATGCTTGTGAAAAACCTAAAGAAATACTTCACATTTGAGATTCAAGTGCTGGATGATAAGAATGTCAGGCGACGTTTCCGAGCTTCTAATTTTCAAGTGTGTAAGTTTTCCCAATTTTTTGGGCAATCTTTGTTGTGTTTTTCTTTCTCCCTTCCTTCTGTTATATGTGCTTCATGGAATACTTCTAATGAATAGTGATGCTAGATATTAGTCTTGAAGAAACACTTCTGTTTGTTATCTAAACTTATGAGTCCTTTGTGGGTGTGGGATTAATTATATTGATTCTAAATATACTTATGTAAATCTCTTCAAGTTTTACATGCCAAATGAACTGATATTTATTATGCAGACATCTGTTAAAAACTGGTAGTATCTGTATGTTTTCATTCAATGACCTCTTCTTTTAATTTGATCATCTGTGAAAATCCTATAATTAGTTTTCCAGTTTGGTATTTATGAAAACTGTTGTGGAGTTCAATAGTTTTTCACTCTCCACATTGGCACATAATCTCATTATCCTTGGAGGTTCATCAAGGATGCATTTGGTAGTTGTCCTTGCTTGCTGGTGTACTTATGTTTGGCATTTTTCTAAAGTGTTAAGCTAGCAAATAACTGAGTACCCTTTGCTGGACTTGTTTAGTATCAAGTTTTTTAGAATTAGTGGCTGATGAGAGAAATGTAAAGGCTGCTCTGATTTTTTCGTATGCATCTGCTTGCCCGTATTACTTTCTTGAGTCATTGTAGTTTTGGTAGTTGTCCTTGCTTGCTGATGTACTTATGTTTGGTATGTTTCTAAAGTGTTATGCTAGCAAATAACTGAGTACCCTTTGCTGGACTTGTTTAGTATCAAGTTCTTAGAATTAGTGGACTGATGAGAGAAATGTAAAGGGTGCTCTGATTTTTTCATATACATCTGCTTGCCCGTATTACTTTCTTGAGTCATTGTAGTTTTGCCATTTGCTTGTGTATCTTCCCCCCCACCCATCCCCCTTTTCCTTCCTTCTCACCTCTCAATAACTTAAGACTTTGCAATTACGACAAAGTCTTAAGTTAATGCAAGAATTTTACACAGACGCACATGTCCACTATTGCAACAAAATGGTAATGTGAAGAATTGAGATAAGAGTATGTTATATAATTTACTTGTCATTCCATCTTTTGGGACGAAAGAGCAAATGTCTCATGTTTTGTTATCTTTTTCTTCAATTTAATTTGTGAGGCAAACATATATTCTGGTATTCACTTTTTTTTTTTTTGGTAAGGTAAAGCAATTTATTTACTCACACATACTGCCTCCAGTGAGGCTTGAACCCATGACCTCCCTTTGGGAAGTATGGGTGTGGTACCGCTGGGCCACTGGTTATATTATGGTATTCTTTCGCACTAAAAACTTTGCTGGAGTATCTCATCTAAATTAAAAAATATAATAGAAAAAAAAAAACTGTAAACACAACAATTGTTGCATTTGTGCTATAGTGTCTGATGGTAATTATGGTCTGTTTGGTGCAAGGGAACAGTGAAAGGGAATGGTGGGTACAAAAAGGGGAGTGATGGATAATCTTTCATTGTTCGAGGAAAGGAGAAGGGAAGAGAGGAGGGAAGGCCTTCCATTGGCCCATAATATTCTTTCCTTTCAAAATCGGGAGGAATGAGGAGAATAACTCCCCCACTTTTCTTTTATACTTTTGCCCTTCAAATATCACCATTTCTTTAAAGTGTAAAGATATAGTGGTAAAATCATGAAACAACTTTTTTCTTTCTTTCTTTCTTTCTTTCTTTCTTTTATTTATTTATTAATATTTCCTTCTAACACCACCTTCTTTTAGAATGTAAGGATGTAGTTGTAAAATTATGAAGCACCCATATTTTTTCTTTGGAAAACAACCCTTCCTTTTGCCATTATACCTTTCTTCAAGATTTCCATCCTTCATTTCAGAGGGAGCATTTGGTTGGGAGGCTAGATGTAAAATAATCTGGATAAACCTAATCTGAAAAAAGTGGACATGTTAGAGTTCTTGACCTTTAGCAGTTGATGACTTGATGGCCCTATCTGTGGAATCGGGGATGTTGACTTGATGATGCGTTATTTATATCCATTGGAATCACCGTTCGGCTTTGAAGTATTAATTTTACACTAAAGAACTCCACTTTTCTGTTGTAGGCTGTGACTAGAGTAAAGCCATACATCTGTACCATGCCTTTAAGGTTGGACGAGGGATGGAACCAAATCCAGTTGAATCTTTCTGATTTTACCAGACGTGCGTATGGAACCAACTATGTTGAGACACTGAGGGTTCAAGTGCATGCAAACTGCCGTCTTAGGAGAATATATTTCTCCGACCGCCTTTATTCAGAGGAGGAACTCCCACCAGAATTCAAACTTTACCTGCCAATGCAGGTGAGATAGTTCCTTTGGCTCTCCAGTTATTCATTGTTTTCGCTCTCTTACTTTTCAATTGTTTTATTGAATCTAACTCGTATATTAATGATTTGATTGCAGAAAACATGACTGCATGCAAAATCTCACTGGACCGCGACTTCTAAAGGAGTGGAGCTATACTATCGAATGGCAGCTTATAAGTCGTCTGTAATTTTTCAGTTTTTACAGGACGTAATCTCATAGATATTATTCACTTGGTGTTTGACTAGGACGATATTATTATTGGAGTTTGCAATGGTGATATGCATTGTCTTACTATCCAGTTGCTTAGTTTTGCTGATAAGCCTAGTGCTGTGTTTTCTGAGCGAGGTGCCTAACCCAATTGGGCCTTGATTTGGTTTTATTTTGTTGTGTGTGGAATTGTTGTGCTTGGTTTTCAATGGAAAGTTAAAGATTTTTATGGGATTCTTAAAAGTTTGGCTTGGTGGTAAGATTTCACTTGTAGAACAAGCAGAGACTTCACGGATTTAACTGTGATACGAAACTCCTACTTGTAATAAGTCGCTTGGTTTCTTGGAACCCTAACATTTCAGTTATATAATGTCATTTTTTTCTCTCCTCTTGCAGCCACTTTGAATCCCTCCTATCCTTTTCTTTCTCCTAACATCAGAAGTTTCCTCTCTTTTTACTTTCCCTTCTTTTTCTTCCCTCCGACCAAACATAGGCTTAGGGTTCGCTCAAGAATAATATTGTTGCATTGGACTCCCAGCGCCACAAACGGATTTGGTGAACCTAACATCGTCAACAAAAGAATGTTGATGCCGGGGCCTTGGTCCTCTAGTGTAGATTATAATAAATTGGCAATAAAAGAATGACTAGTGTGAAGTGATGAAAAAATGATAATAATAGGATCTAATACAAAGAATGGTGTATATATATAAACCTTATATATATACTTGATGACGATTGTTGTACCGAGTTTTTTATAGCACCTCATAATCTGGTTTATAGCACCTCATAATCTGGGCACATGCAGTCCCATGAAATTACTCATGGTTGACAGTTGGGCTTGCACTAGCGAAATTTTGTCTGCCATGATCACTTGATCTAGATTCATACAAGCGTTCATCACCTAATTGTTATTTTTTTCTTTTTTTCTTTTTTTTTAATATATAGATTCTTCATGCATCCACAGGTTCCTAAAAGTGAGGGAAAGAGGATGTATTTGCAAGTTCCACACTTCAGAAAGGGTAATAAAAAATATGACAAGGGATCTATATTACTAAAGCTCCTTGTGTTGTTTGGGAATTAAGCCCCCAATTCAGTCATTATATGTAACATGGAATACATATGCATATCAAAAAAGTCAGTTATATCTTGGAACAACGTTCGGAAACTTCTGTGAAGGGCAATAACAATGGGAAATCAATCCTAATCGTTTGTTTGTCTCGGATGACCGTAGTTTGAATAGCTCGTCATAAAGGATGCTTTTCGCAGTAGTCTCATAGGTTGGGAGGCTTGCTGTCGGGTGTCTTCAAAATGGGAAATCAATCCTAATCGTTTGTTTCTTTTGAGATTGCAGCATTGTCAACTCTTGGTATGAAAGCACACTCGTATTTCTCATCCTACTGCATCTAAATCGACCTCTGCATCCGTCTCTCCATCAATCATTCCTGCCTCTACTTCCACATCTGCTTCTATCTGCCCTGGCTCTGGGCCACCATCCGTGTCAGAGCTTTGCTTCTGACTTTCATCTGGAGTTGGAGTTTCACCCTGGGAAATATTACCGGTTATCACTTCAGTGTCCATTGGAGCTGCTGAGGCTTCAAGATCAGTTCTGCTTCCTTCACCATCCATCTCACTTGCAGGTGTTGCAATCTAGCCAAAAACAAAACACAGAGCAAAAAAAAAAAAAAGCGAAGCTTAGAGGGGAAAAAAAACAAATAATCATATGAAAAATGTTTGTAACCCCAGAGATTTTTGATACAAGAAACAATTGAAACAATAACAATTTTAACATAAGAAAAGAAAAACAAAACCACACAATCCCAAAGACGGCTAGTCATCTTTTACATGATCCAATCACCAGACTAGTTCACCTTCTGAGTTAGAACACACAAATCCGTTGTGCAAAAGAAAGAAAGAATTTTCACTGAAGACGAGTTTAAGATGGCTAGTCTTAGGCGAAAATCAGATTCTTGTAATATTTTTCTTCGTATTTTAATAATTTAATTACATATATACAGATCTTTTTATATGTTCCTAAGGTGTGATTCCACATATTTTGTAATCTGCTGAAGATTCATTTATCAACCAAACTCAATAATTTTAAGCTGTTACACAAATCATTACACTGGACTTTTCCTACGCAATTTTTAGGTCCATTAAAATATAGAGCAATCTTAAAACAAGAGAGTATAACTAATCAGAGAATAGAGAGATTCTTTACATAGAAAGTTAATTCCAAAGTAGATATACATTTATAATTAATGGCATGATGATTAGGAACATATACAGATAAAATTCATAAAGAATATAAGCAAATTGATAATGCTTAAAGAATCCATTGCAAGGATAACAAAGACAAGATGGATACCATTTTATATGGTGCATAGGTTCCAAGAACAGAAAAACACTATGGAAAAAAAAGACGTCCGGTGGAAAATTAAGCTAAAAAGAATTGTAGTCATTCAAGATTCATCCATGAAATTCTATCTCAAGATTGTCCAATCTAATCCAAGTAGCATGAACACAAGAAAGGGAAGAGATGCTACATGGACAGAAGTATACAGGAAATCCTAAAAGAGTAGGACAAGGACACCAGGAAGACATAGCAACATAAACATAAAAAATAAATAAAATAAAATTATAGGCAAATCTTTCAAGTAACACAAAACTTCCACTCTAAATTTCTATAGTAAGAATTGCAAAAGACGGAAACTATAGAAATATTAAAAGTAGTGCAATGGTAAAAGCTTTGATGGCAAGTGCAAAAAAGGCGAGTCTCAGTGCAAAATTATGCCAGAGGTTTGACCTTTCTCCAGTGTTGCGATCCCAAACCTCGCATAAATGGGACATATACTAGACAATGTAACTATTACCTCTTGCTATAATTTTTTTACAGGTATATTCTTGTCCTATATTATAAGTGTCCACTGTGTGTTTAACTTGCGTTGCTGTGCGCACATTGTAAGATTTCATTAAAAGAGATCTTGGCCATTTCGAGGTTGTGTTTTATTGTTTTTTTCAAAAAGAGTGCAAATGACTCCTATATTAAGTTGTGTTTATGCTAGACAAGTTTAGGGGATTGTCTAAAAATATGTCGGATATGACACCTCCATAGAAGTGTTTGTACTTCTTAGAATCTAAGTCCTCTTTTAGGGCAACAAATGAACTGGATTGTTCATGAACAGCTTGAACTCAACTTGAGCTTGTTCATTAAGAAACGAACTGACCACAAGCTCATTTAATAAATGAGCCAGGATTGAAAAATCTTAAGCTCAGCTCCCTATGTTTCAAATTATTATATTTAAAAGTTTATATCATATATCATAAGGTTAGCCAACTCACATATGTTTTAAGCCCTTTGTCTAAAGGCCCAAAACAATAATAAGCACTATCACCTGTGAGCCATTAGATTGCAATAAAATCCAATGGTTGTAAACAAACCTACCAAAAGGAGAGATCAAAGCTCTTAAAAAACCCTAATAGAAGACACCAAACAGTCACACCCTAGCAGCCATCTCCATCGTTCTATTAAATCTCTCTCGTTTTTAGATCAGCTCATGGAGTTCTCTCACACGTCTAGTATATCTCTCATCTCTCACTCTTACCTTTTCATCTTTGCTGCAACGGTGGTGGTTGAGCAATCAGAGGTCAATGGAGATATATATCAACAAAGAAATCAGAAAATGCAATTTCTTCTACGTCTATGTACATGTGTGATTGCGTATATACACAACCATATATATAAAAGAGCTCAAGCCAAACTGACCCCTAGATTGGTTGAACAATGACAAGCCAAGCCTGAATTCGCCTAGCTAAGTTCGCCCAAACAAGCCTCTAAGTTTGGCAAATTGAGCCCAAACAACCCAAAAAATAGGCTTGTCTCAGTTCATTTGCAGCCATATCCTCTTAAATCAAATACAACATCAACGTATTAGAGTGCACACCCCTGATTAAAAATATATATATAAAAAAACATGAACAAGAAGATGACCCGTGTCCAACTCAAGAGGGGTCTCGTGTTCAACGCCTAGAGGCGTTAGGCCTCCAAGTTGGGCTTACCCAATGCCTGTGATTTGGAGGTGATTGCAGGTATCCGAAGGAATTAGTCCCCCCCTCCGGGTAGAGGGTGGGGCACTCTTCCTGATGAGGAAAAAAAAGTCTGTCACTTCCAATTATTAACTTAAGATGCACTATTCTGATAGTTATTATTGGACTAATTAAGAATTTCCATGGTCAGGTATAATTTAGATTTGAAAAACACACACACACACACACAGGCTCCAAAAAATCCAAATGATCCATTGCGGACAACTTGACAACCCCCTTAAACCACCCCACCCCCCCCCCCCCCCCCCCCAAAAAAAAAAAGGGGAAAAAAAAAGTGCTTCCATGATTATAATTAAGAAACTTTCTACATACCTACAGTAGACATCAAAACTTTCTGAGGTCACAATAATTTTTTCCGAAGGCATAAATCATACAAGACAACTAGTTTTCAGAAGAACTGGTAGTTTGGCCAGAGATCTGTTTTAGGTCCACTTCCCTGCCAAACAATTTTCTTAGATGTGATCTCATGACATTGTTCATGCGTGAAATTATTGTTTATTCCCCAGTTCATATTTGAATCAGAAATGCATATTCTTGATTTCTTTTATAGCTCCATTTATAGAACTACAATTCTTTGTACAACAACAACTATCAACAGGTTACTATTGAAAATCTAAAAGTCCAAGAATCATTCTATGATCATTAGTATTTGATAGTAATCTGTTAAACATGGAGAAAGTATATGATCACATAAATCAAGTACCATTGTCAAAACCTCAAACAAGAGATTTATTTCAGCCTGAATTATATCTCTAGACCTCTGTGGGAAATAGGAAATACAAGGCCCCTGCTCTTTCAGTCAAATGCAATATACAGGGGTGTGTGTGTGTGTGTGTAATTTTCCTATAGAGAAGAAGATTTCCAATTTTATGTTAGTTACACATATGCCATCCACAGAATAAACTGTCAGAAGTAAAATAATTTCATTTTTTTTACTGGGGTTTCTTAATTTCCTATAGAGAAGAAGATTTCCAATTTTATGTTAGTTACACATATGCCATCCACAGAATACACTGTCAGAAGTAAAATAATTTCATTTTTTTTTTACCTGATTTTCTTCTACTTGATTTGCAGCACCTTTTGTTTCTTCCTTTTTAGCACGTTTAGACCTTTCACTTGGTTTAGCTTGATATTTCGACCGGACATCAGGAGGCAGAAGTTCTAAAGGCACAACCCCTTCAATACCATATTCCGTAAACTGCAATGTAACTTATATCAGCTTTTATCTCAATACAAGATTACTTGACACTCTAGTTATTTAATTTTCATTTGTAAATTAATCATACTCTAGAAAATCCATCCAAGTCCTGTCGAGCTGAAAAACGGAGACCTTTCCAGCAATAAACCTGTACCAAAAGTGAAATAATTTGTTTGGAAGAATAAAAGAGTCCATATATAAAAAGCAATTATCAAAAAATAATGACGCTCTATAACAAACATATAGAAACAAGATGCATTCCGAAAGAAGAGCATGTTGGTCGGTAGATTTATCTCAGACATCTACTGATTATAACCATTCATATCAGCAATTGGAGAGACACAAACTTAATTATTATACTCGGCATTCATTAACTTTTGTGCTAAGACTCAATTTGCATGATGCCCTAGAAGAGCACATGGGACACATGCCTTACTGTTGGATGGGAAAAAGGTTCCAACACGCAGGCAAAAAATATTTGGGGCTATGAGGTGCATCAAGGCATACTAAGGTATGAAAAGTGGGTGGGAATAGTTGTGAAGAAAAACAGTAGCTGTTTGGAGGTTTGATATTTAGTTCTGGGCCTTTGAAAGATACAAATTGCACCAACATATATAAATGGTAATTTAACAAATGTACAAACAGTAGAAAAATTAGCACAGACATTCAGAATTATTATAACAATGAAGTAGTGTAATATTTGAAGTTAGTTTGATAAAGAAAAGACAGACAACGGTATTCATCTGGATGATAATTAAATAGAGAAACAAACATGAAAATCCAGAGGCATAAAGTAACATGCAAAGGCATTAACCCCTAGCTTACTAGAATAGATAAGTTACTATATATCTAGTCTGGTTCCTTCTTTTTTCCTTTTTTCTTTTTTGGGTGTACCTGCCCCTAGAGAATGGGAGGGAGGGGGGTGTCGTGAGCTGCCAGACCAATCTGATATTTGCAGACTCGGAGTAGATTCCGTGAGTGCTTTGGATTTGACTGCGAGATGGACATTCAGCCACTTGTACTAGAAATCTGAAATTTGTTACTTTGGAAACTCGAACACATGAAACGTAATTATCTGCTGTCTTGGTTAATTAGTTATCATTCTTGTATTTGTATCTAAATAAGCTTTACTTTTATGCTCTTAAGCATTTCCAACTTTTTGAATCTCCAAGCTGTTTCCATTACTTTTCCAAGACCTTTGTGTTTTCAGGCATACCACAAGATATAATAACTCCTCGCTGCAAGCCTGGTGTAGGTATGAAGTCCCCTACTTGCAAAATGCGTGCTACGAGGGTAATCATCCACCATGTCATTCCATGACATGTCATGTCGGGAGCCTCCAAAGTAGGGATGACAATATGTCGGGTATGGAGGGGTGCCCATAATCCAAAACAGTTCCACGAAGAAAAATCAATTACCAAACCCGCCCAACTTTGGGATTGGGCAGTTTCGGAGTGCTCCGTTGTGTATAATTTAAATAGCTAAAAACAACCCTAAATATATCCAAGATAGAATTTTCGTGATTTTTTTTTTTTTTTTTTTAAATAAAACAAAAAAATAAATAAACAGCTCTAATCATAAATTTTGTTAACTTTATGTATAATCCAAAATATCATGAAAAAAATGAAAAGAACAAAAATGCAAATAATAAAATTACTATTTATATATATTTAAAAAAGAAAAATTAACCCGGTTATTTTTGTGGTGATATTCTGCCTCTATTCCTGCAGTTACGTCCATCTGTAAGTTCAAGAAGAATTAATATCATTCAGATAACTAAATTTCAACCACCATTCTCATACATCACATATACACATACATTTATACTAGGAAATTAGAAACAATCAATTTATGTAATAGTTTAACTTCAATAAGTGCTAGTAGGCCTCACATCTTCAGCCAAGGGCTTCCAGTATTCTGTAACAGCAGGAGTGCGCACACGTTGAGCATCAGTCAGAGCATTCTGGAGATTCAAACAAGTAAGGCATGAGGATTCGAAAATGATGTTGTAAATCTATGAAATAGTGGCATGGCACTAAGTATCATGTAAACTACAGAAAAGAAAATATCAGAATTACTTACAAAGCCACAATATATTGCTCATTAATGTTCTTGAATAGAGAAGGGTGTTATCTCCCAATGAAATATATTGTTGGAGTAATCATCATTTATTATGTAGAAGTAGGTTCATTCTATGATATTAGTATAATTCATACATGCAATATCCATTATTTCCATGCACCATCAAATATAGGATTAACAGACAGTTAATAGAACTAGGTAACTAATATCAGCTACAATGAACCTTAAACAGTGCTAAAAATACCCAAAATCAGAACTAAGGTTAGTTTTTCATTCTAAAAGTCAAATATATAGCCAATACGCCAGTAATTGTTACTTAACAATCATTGCCGAGGTAACAGAGACTTGAAGGTCTTTTGTTTTTGCTTTCGTTGACCATCTAGCACCTGAAACACTTTCGTGCTCTGTTGAACCAAAGTGAAGGTCCTTTGAAGTAAATTTTTATTCCGATTCTACCTAAAAAATCTTTATAATGTGTAGCATAGTTACAAAACTTCCTTAATTCTAGTCCCACCGCATTCAACATTAGCCCAAAAATCATTTAGCAAATCCTACCGCAAAGGCACTTCCCTGGAAAAACTTAGCATTTTACAGATCTGTTCTAAATGTCTAATGACACCTTCCTTTTCCCCATTCACTCACCAACAAATTGACCATAGCTGCTACCTAGTCAGATCAACCTATGCCCTCAACAAGTTCAACAACAATCTTGAACTTCCTTGAGTTCTATTTCTCTAATGTAAGGACAGACTACACTTCAGTTCACCTAAACACCGTAACCTAAATGATTTCCTTAGGATGACACAATATCCAACCATCAAGCTTACCACTTCATCTCAGTGTCTAGTAACCGCAAACATCTTTATACCGCTTGCAGTAGATGATTAGCTTTTATTTATCCACTTGCACATATAAAATAATCTGACACCTCTGCCTTAAGTTGTCATTGTGAATGAAAATCTTCTCAAAAAGAGTTGTCCAACTAAAAAGGCAACTTTAGGAGAGGCTTTTGCACACCAAATCGCCTTCCAAGAATCCCGAGCAACATCTTTACCCAGCTCAGGGCATCCTCCTTCCCCTCACCAACTGCTTGAGCACAAGAAAATGCGAAGCATGCCTGTGTCTCTTCCAATCATAAGTCCTAGCAGCTAATGAAAATATATATTCTATATGCCATCCCATCATGGGTGAACCAGAGATAACCTGCAACCAAGCCTGTCGGTCCACTCTAATCCTGAACAAGTCCGCAAACATCTGGCATGGGGGACCCCCATCACACCAACAACCAAACCAAAATCTGATTCTCTACCCACTCCTTACCAATATCAATTCATTCTTAGAAAATTATCCACAGTTTCACACCCTGTCCTGAAAATCTTCCATACTCCCAAATTAGGAAGGATCTGAACCTCGCTGAGATGTCAATCTTGGCTATTGCTCCCATACTTCCTTTTTACATTGTCCTCCACAAAGTGCCTCTCTTGCTCATACCTCCATAGCCAATTTCCCAATAGAGGCTGACTGCACTCCAATTAGCGCTTAAACTCATCCCTTAACCTCTCCACAGGAAATCCCTCTGCAGTTTCTGCAATCTAATCATAACAGATTTAGAAATTAGAATTAGTGGCAAAATATGTAGGCAGAATAGACAATAAGCTCTTGATGAGGGTCAACCTGTCCGCATTCAATAAATACTCTGTTCTAACTTGTCAACCCCTTCTCAAAACACTCAATATATACATCCCAAACAGCAATAGCTCTTTAAGCATCCTTATAGGTGGCAATGCAGAACTGTTTGAGTTGTACTCGAATACCGTTCCTTTTTCTCCACAATAAGTAGAAATTAAATTGCCAAACCAAACAATGGGGAAGAAAAAGGAGTGAGTCAGTCACAAAGGTAGTCATCACGGTGTATCACTTGGCAAATAAGTGCACATACATCAAATTTACCATTGGGCTAGATGAGACCATGTTGTTTGGATAGTTATTAAAAATGTTCTACACTAATTACAGTAACATTCCACATAATTCTGAGTGTTAATTCCAACTGCTGGCTATTAATTTATGAATATTTGATTACTTGATTCTTTCTTTTTTCTTCGTTATTTTCTTCTTTTTTATTTCTGGACCTGGTGGGTCAGCTCAGAGTTCAGGTTGTTTGGTGAATGATTAAGCTTATAATACCAGTATGATTAAGAATTGCTTTTAATAATGTCAGAGTTGGCTCACTGATAAAGTGGTCCACAATATCGAGCGTGCGCTAACAGGACAACGACGATGAAGCATGGAATTACAATCTATATAATAATGTCCTGCAAAGTAAGTTTGCAAAACAGAAAAACTGATAAAAATTAATTTATTGTCTACCATGAACCCCTGAACTATTCAGTATATAATAACACACCGGATTCTGATCTGCCCATTTCCACAATTGAGAGAGTTCTTTATTCCCCAGTCTCCAACGTGGCCTACTGCAGGGGAAAAAAATATTCTTCAGAAGCAAATCTAGACGAAAATGACATTCTCAAATTTCAAAATTTACATAACTCAGGCTACAGTGATGCTGCTTAATGATTTCTGTAATTAATTTATAAAACATAATTAAAAGCAAGTTTTTATTTCTAGCCGAATTTCCATACTAGCTAACCTGTCAATGTTTATCAACAAATTTCAAGAAAATTACTGTGACATTGTTTATGTGGCATGGAAATAAACATACCTCATTTTGCTTCCATGTAGAATCTATTTTAAGCTATAAACAAGGTCTAATACAAGTCAGAGACTGAAAATTAAGTATTATACAAACTTTCAAACAAGGGCCATTAATTGGTGAACATCATATTAACAAACTTGATAACACAGGTTGGAAACATAAAGCAGCCTCTTTGAGCAAAAATAATGCTAAAAGTTAGTTGTATCTATAGTTTTCCCCCCCCAGAATCCTGCATAGACGGGACCATGGATAATGGCTTTTTTACAAGCATTCCAACTAAATAAAAAATAAAAAACACAGTTAATATTTATAACATGGTGTACGATAGATATCAATACATGCCAAACTGTTTGACAAGCCAAAATAACGTAACAATTATGGATTTTCAGCTTCCAATATGTTGAAGAGTTAACCGACACCTTCATCTTTGATATCAATAGTTGGCAGCCAGCAGTTGTTATGTTCTGAGTGTTAAAAAATCAAATAAAAGTCAAGTGAAGGAACAAACACACTTGCTCCCAGCGAACCAGATGATACTTGAACTCCCCCCCCCCCCCCCCCCCAAACAAGAAAATTACGCTGCAAACTCTCAATTCTCTCAGCCACAGATGAAGGAATCTGAAAGAGAGAGATGAAATATGTTGGGAGGCAAGAAAGGGTGCTCTTAATCAGAGTGACCCGTCCCCCCTTGGAGAGGTACTGTTTCTTCCAACCCGCTAGCCTCTTCTCAAATCTATCCACCACCGGATCCCAGGTCCCCACACATCTCGAAGAGGCTCCCAGAGGTAAACCTAAGTAAGAAATGGGGAAAGATCCAGTGCGACATCCAAGGATCTGAGCAAACATCTCAATATCAGGAACATCCCTAACAGGCACTAAAACACTCTTTCCGACATTCACCTTAAGCCCAAAGACAACTTCGAACCAAACTAAAACGCATCTCAAATGTCTCAACTGGGACGCATTGGCATCACAAAGAACTAAGGTATCATCTGCAAACATCAAGTGAGAGATCTCCAATTGATTAGCAACATCCCTGCCCACCCGAAAACCTCTCAGAAAGCCAAGCTCAACAGCCTTTTTCAGCAACCTGCTAAGCGCCTCCATCACAAAATGGAAAAGGAAAGGGGAAAGCGGATCCCCCCGTCTCAAGCCCCTCGAACTGGAGAAAAACCCCGTCGGAGCTCCGTTCACAAAGATAGAGAAGCGAGCACTAGAGATACAAAAAAGAATCCATCTCCTCCACCAGCTCCCGAACCCCATCCTCTCCATCAAGTAAATGAGAAAGCTCCAACTCACATGGTTGTACACCTTCTCAATGTCCAGCTTGCATAAAACACTCGGAACCCCACTGCTCAACCTGGAGTCCACACATTCACCGGCAATAAGAACTGAATCCAAAATCTGACGACCTCCCACAAAAGCATTCTGAGAGTCAGAGATGACGCCATCCAGAACCTTCCTCAACCTCGAGGCCAAGACTTTGACAATTAACTTGTAAAAACATCCAACATCAAACGCCCCTCCCTTTTTTCGGAATGAGGGCAATGAAAGTAGCATTCAAACTCTTCTCAAAAGAGCCAAAGTGGCATTCAATCTAGAGCAACATACCAAAACCTAACATGAATTCGTTTCATACTTCTAAGAGTGCACTCAAAATGCTACTAGTTGAAGATGTTATAGACTAACCTAGAAAGCCAGGGATGTGTGGCAGGTTGCTTGTCAATGTCTTTAGTAGAGTGTATGGCAGAGAGAAATAGCTGGTCTTTCTAAGGAATTGGGTCGCTTATTTGGACCCTGAAAGCTCCCCCTTGTTTTTTTGGCTCACTAGAGTGGCAGACAGTCTAATTTGATTGATTCTTATGCAGAGTTTTTGGGTAATATGATATTATAGTTTGTATGCAAACTTCGAAAGGGCAACCATCAGTTTTATGTAAGCCAAATTGAACTACTAACTTGCATACCGTTTCTTTGCTCCTTCTTGAATTGACTTCTTATCTATTGGTTGCTTTTCAAATGGAGGGCAACCATCACGTTTCCACCACACCTGAAACACTCCAATATTTGGAACAGAACATTCATCACAATGGTAAAGAGATGAATGTAAAGAGAAAGGAAGAGAGATGAAAAGGGAAACAGTGCTCACCCAATTCCTCTCGCGTTCTAATATCTGCTCGATGCTATGAAGAAACTCTTTCCCTTTTGGTGGAGTCATTTCAAGTAGTTTCTTTACGCGTTCCTCACAAGATTTTACTTCTTCTTTCTAGAATCACAAAGACATGCGGTTAATATTATTTTCAAAAAATTTTTTTTTTTTAAAAAGTACATAACTAGATATGCATCTGAAAATGTAAAAGTCCAATCAAGTAAATAAGCACATAGACAAAGCATCCATCGTGCTGCATTAAACAGGTAAAAAATATATATATACTTCCTCAACTTTAATCAGACTAAAACCAAGCAATATGCCATAAGGAATGAGGATAAGTGTTAAGGAACAAAAGGGTTGGAAGTGCAAGTAAAATCTAGTGTCTAGGTAGGTTTGAAAAGGAGGAATTGCTTGGCAATACAAGAGAGTAAAGAGAACTAGTATTGATATACCAATTGCAACTTGCAAGCATATAACGACAAATATAACAAAAGGCCACACCTGTGCTTTTCATAGATACAATAAAAAGAAGGAAAAAAAAAAAAAAGATCAATCCCATATAAGATGAAGTTGAATATTGAGTAAATGACTCCTACCAGCAAATTACCCACCTGTCACCCAGAGAAAGAAGCCACATAACAAGTTTGAGGGCGCTAGTTCAAATAGGGGCTTGAGATTGATGTGGAAACTAGTGAGCCGGTGAGGTCTTTTGTTTATGCAAGGAGTGGTGATTACCTATCTAACTTAAATATTTTATTGCTATTGCTTACCATAATGCTCTATGTGAGACTACTTCCAGGATTTCAATGAGTCCATTTTACAGAGCCATTTTCAGGATTGGGATCTTGAGTCTGCTGATAAGCTCTTGAAGATTTACAATAGTTCACGAAGTATCGTAAATATGTAATTTTGGAATATTCTAAACATCATTAATCATCTCTTTAAAACAACCAAGATGATGTTCTTTTTTGAACAAATGATCATGGTGATACAATTCTCTAACTGTTGCCAATCTTTTAATTAAGTTATTTTACTTGTGTAATATAGGCCTTCCAAACTTATTATATTCAAGAACCTGTTCAAACAAATTCTGAACTTAAAGTGAAGCTTCCATTCCTGAAAAATTCTCTAGTGAAAACGTATCCACATTATTCATTATTCACCTGTTGCTTGTCCCAGTCTATTTCATTCATGGATCTTGACATAATCATTCCTGGATAAAAACCGAAGGATGAGGAACGGAACTGGAGGCTCTGATGTCAGAGTATGCAAAAGGACCCAAACAAGACCTAGAAAGGGGAGGGAATTGAATAGGTCTTGACAAAAAACAAAAATTGAAAATTTAAACTACCTTTCAAATTTTAACTACTCTAAACTTATAAAGCATGTAAAAATCATAATGAAGTAGAATATAAAGAATAAAAATATAAAAGCAACCACACATAAACACAATTTTTACATGAAAAACTCATAGGAAAAAAATCACTGGATTTAGTTGAGTCAGATCAAATCCAATATGAAGAAAGATTGACAACTAGGTTAACCAGACTCTAACTCAAGAATCCCCTAGTTATCTCTGACCCAGGTTGTTGTCAGACGATTCACTCCAATCTCTATTGATGTGAGTTAATGAAATCACTCCTCACGTAGTCTCTTCTTCCTCTAGTACTTTGATCCCCAATGACTAGTTACGTCTGATCTACTTTGGTTATGAGGAAATTGTTTGCACTGTTGAAATCCTTTACAACTTTTTAAAATCAATTCTTCAACACGCAATAACACTCACATCTAAGTGTACGATGATGAATGAAAAACAAAGAAATCTCTAGCAAGGATTGCTCAAATGCACTCAAAAAACATTTTGATGCCCATTGTATGCTTTTGTGCTTCTCTATGTTTACAGAAGTTTCTTGACGATTTAGGCTTCGGGATAACTAGGAGGGAAAAGTAAGGAGAGAATAACATTAGTTATGAGAGAAATGAAAAGAAAGAAGAAAATAGTGTTAACCACTCCTCGTTTTTGAATAACTTACGAGAAAAAAGAAAGGAAGAGATGGTAATAACCCTTGATCATGTTGATAGTGGAAAGAAAAGAAAGGAATGGTTTGTTTTATTTTGTAGTGGGAAGAGTAAAACAGGAATTTGCTTGTTATTAAAAATATAAGAAAATATTGTTCAAATAGTTAGTGACTCCTTCACCCTCTTAATCCTTCCTTTTCCCTCCACTTTCATAAACAAATACATATGTTAGACTATCCTTTCATCTCATTTCCTTCTGTTTCCGTCAATCTAAAACAAGCTGAGCTCTTAAGGTGATGTAGAACGAGATGTGACTCAAACACAAGATTCGCACGTAATTCACCTCTACTTTTGGAGGAAGGGTAAAGATAGATAAAATTAGGAATTTTAAGTAATTAGGGCAATTTTAATTCTTATTTTAGTAATGTTTGATTTGAGAATTATTTTAGTAATTTATTTTGTAGAGGGTTTTACTATATTTTTTTTTGATAAATAAAAAATTTTAAAAAACACTCCAAGGGGGAGCGGAATCCAAGAACGATACAAAAAGCCACTCAATCCTTCAAAGAGGCCAAAAAATCAACAATTTCCTCCAAAGATCTATGATCTCTCCCTAAAACCCAACAAAAAAGAGTGGAAATAATCGAGAATTTAAGCACCGAAATCGACATCGCCTTTCCTTCAAAATATCTCCTATTCCTTTCAAGCCAAATGCACCACCATACACAAAGCAGCGTAGCCCTCCACGCATCCTGACTGTGAGTCCCCACAGGGCAACCTCTCCAAGCCTCAATCAACCCTCTTGTAGATCTAGGCATAACCCAAAAAAGCCCAAATAAGCCAAGCATCAAATCCCAACACTCTCTAGCCACATAGCAATGAATGAGAAGGTGATCCACTGATTCCTCATTACGAGGGCACATAAAACAACGATTGATCACCACTTGGCTTCTCCTTCGCAAATTATCCTGGGTTAGGATCTTTCCCAAAACCGAAGACCACACAAAGAAAGCCACCTTGAGAGGAGCCTTGGAGCGCCAAACAGACTTCCAAGGAAAACGAACATCAGGATCAAATGAGAGACACTTGAAGAAGGACCTCACCTCAAAACGCCCATGAGAGTTTGCTACCCAAGACCAACAGTCCGAATCCTCCTCCACAATCCTTTGGCGATAAAGCAGCTCCAAGAAGCGAATGACCTCCTCGATCTCCCAATCCTGAAAGTGACGCCTGAATCGAACATCCCAAACCAGTCTCCCATTATCAAGATGATAACAGTTGACCACCATGGCCTGCCTATCCGAAGCAATCCTGTAGAGCTGAGGAAAAGCGAGAGCGAGAGGAACATCTCCACACCACACATCCTCCCAGAAGCAAATCCTCCTCCCATCTCTAAGACGAAATCGAATGTGTTTAGAGAATTCATCCCAACCCTTCCGAATCACTTTCCAGACCCCTACCCCCCGAGGATCCCGCACTTCCAAGGAACTCCACCCTCCTCTCAATTCCCCAAAACGACACGCCACAACCCTCCTCCAAAGCCAATGTCTCTCCACAACCATTTCCCGAGAAGGGCCTTATTAAATGGCACCAATCTACGGAGACCCAACCCACCATTTCGAATAAGCCTGCAAACCTGATCCCATCGCACCAAATGGAACTTAAACTCATCAGCTCTACCTCCCCAAAGAAAATTACGCTGCAATCTCTCAATCCTCTCCGCAACTGAAGAGGGAATTTGAAAAAGAGAGATAAAGTAAGTGGGAAGGCAAGAGAGGGTGCTCTTAATCAGAGTGACCCTGCCGCCCTTGGAAAGATACTGCTTCTTCCAACCCGCTAGCCTTCTTTCAAATCTGTCCACCACTCGGTCCCAAATTCCTACACATCTCGAAGGAGCACCCAGAGGCAAACCTAAGTAAGAAATGGGAAATGACCCAGTCCTACAACCAAGAATGTCAGCAAACATCTCAATCTCAGGGACCTCCCCAACCGGCACCAAAACACTCTTGCCCACATTCACCTTAAGGCCGGAGACAACTTGAAACCAAATCAAAACACATCTCAAATATCTAATCTGGGACACATTCGCATCACAAAGAACTAAAGTATCATCAGGAAACATCAAATGAGAGATCTCCAACTGAGAAGCAACATCCCTGCCCACCCGGAAGCCCCTCAAAAAACCCAAATCTGAAGCCTTTCTCATCAATCTACTAAGGGCCTCCATCACAAACAAGAACAAGAAGGGAGAGAGAGGATCCCCTTGTCTCAAGCCCCTTGAGCTAGAGAAAAAACCGGAAGGAGCACCATTAACAAGAATCGAAAACCGAGCACTGGAAATGCAAAAGTGAATCCATCTCCTCCACCTATCACCGAACCCCATCCTCTCCATCAGATAGAGAAGGAAGCTCCAACTCACATGGTCATATGCCTTCTCTATGTCCAGCTTACACAGAACACCTGGGACCCCACTACGCAGTCTGGAGTCCACGCACTCGCTTGCAATAAGAACTGAATCCAAAATCTGACGACCACCGACAAAAGCATTTTGAGAATCCGAAATGATGCCATCCATAACTTTCCTCAGTCTAGAAGCTAGCACCTTGGCTATCAACTTATAGATACAACCCACCAAACTAATAGGGCGAAAGTCCCTAACATCCAACGCCCCCCCTTTTTTTGGAATAAGGGTAATGAACGTGGCATTCAAGCTTTTCTCAAACGAACCCCGAGAATGGAAAGCATGAAGAGTGCCCATCACCTCCCCTTTGACCACCTCCCAACACTCCAAAAGAAATTTCATGGTAAAACCATCGGGACCTGGGGCTTTATCCCCATTACAACTCTTCAAAGCAAACAGAACTTCCTCCTCAGAAAAAGGCAACTCCAAACTCAAGCATTCCTCCTCAGAAATAGAGTCAAACTGTAACCCTTCAAGCAAAGGTCTCCACTCAACAGTCTCTGTGAACAACTTCTCAAAGAACTCTGAAAATTCTTTGCAGATCTCTTCTTCCTTACAAAAAACAACCCCTTCAACCCGAATCCTCCCTATGTGATTGCCTCTTCTATGAGCATTGGCCAATCTGTGGAAAAAT